AGTGTTTACGCAGGAGAGCAAAAGTGAGCTTTTCATTCGGCAGATATTCCGGGAATGGTGCTCGCGGGAAGGAGGAAGAAATTTTCCGAGGCAGGCCGCGCGGCCGGAGGGGGAGGGAGGGAGTTGTGAATTTATTGCACGACCAGGACGCGGGATATAGACTGAAGTGGTTGAGGGTGGATTTTACACGTACAACGCACAATCTCTATGCATGAGGTTCACTGGCGCTACAGCTTCCTAAGTACACAGAATACGTATTTGCATTTCGGTCTTTGTACCGGTGTATCCCTGTTAGTAGTCTGAGCTCTGCTCGCTCGTTGCTCGCTGGCGGACAAGCTGAGATCTGCTTCCGCCGAGCAAACCGCACTGCGGATTCCGCGAGTAGACGTCGCGACGGTGCCCTTTGCCGAGTGCCTCGTCAAACCGGCAACAAAGGCACCTCGACCTGGTGCCACCCTCCCCAGGGTTGAGCCGGCGGTCTCGACGCTGCGATTTTAATTCCGTCTGCGGAGTACGTCAGAAATGCTAAGGAAGATCAACAAATCGCGGGAAACCGACTCGAGGTTCGAGGGCTCGCGTGCCGTGGCTGATTTCCACCCCCAAGGAGGGCTGAAACACGCCCGACCCTCGTTTTTTAATTTAATTTCCCGATAAATTTATTCACACCCCATCGCCATTAATACACTATAGACCACGCGAGGCGGCCGATCCGTTGCGGTTCACTCGCAGGGTATTCGCGTGACGGGGGTTACTTTCACTTAGGGGTAAAAGTATGCTCCGCGTGGCGCGCGACTCGCAGGACGCGAATTTGGGGGTATCTCGAAATTTTCAAGGAATTCCGGAAGAATTCAAAAGGAATTCCCTTCTAGGAGGGAAAAGTTCAACCGCGTGTCTCTTTAGGGTATCACGGATTTTCCGGGTCGACTAGCTCTTTTCCTCGGCTGAAATCTTTTTTTTATCGTTCGGGGGGTGTTGCTTTCCCTCTCGGGGGATGAATCCACCCCTTTCGGCCAGGTTGGCGAATGTCGAGGACGCGCTGTCGGAAATTATGCGGATTCCTATTGGACGTATCGTTCGATGAGGGGGTAAACTCATCTTCCTGTCCGAGACCCGGGATCTCGGGGTGGCCGGGCTTCGCGAACCAATCTTCGGGGGATGAATGGAACCCTAAGAGCCGCGGACCCATTGAAACTCATAATCTTTCGGCGAGACCCGCGGAGATGGCTCCGCGCGCGACAAGCGGGGATGATCAGGAGGAAGGTGGAACAATGGAAACAATACATTGAAATGAGAAAGTTGGTTTGCATTGTTGGACAACCGCGGCGGAATTTCTCTCCTCCACCCCTAGGTAGGGGAGGGAAACCGAGACGGAGAAATGCCTCTGTGTCGTGTCGCCAAGTGAAAAGGAAGAATTGCGGCCCGCGGGATGAGCTTCGGTCCCGCGAAGCGCCCTCCATTCGGATGCGTTCCCAGGGGGTTGCTTCAAAAAGGTTCGTCATTTCCGTTTCCTTTAATTGTTTCCCGCACAGTTTTCATTAAATAACCCGAAAGACGACCGCAAAGAGTGGCCCAGGTCCTGGACTGAGCCTGGCCTCTTCCTTTCCTCGCCTGGGTTTCGTACCCCCGAGTCCAAAGGGTCGCCGCAAATTGCGACCCACCCCCGGATGGGGTGCGAATGTTGTCGCGCGGGCATTACAAAACTGCAATTTAGCGGAATAATGAGGACGACTGTTCCTCCCGCGGTGAGGAAAAAATTAAAGGAAAAGGAGAAATGAAAAAAGTGCTCGTTCAGGAGGGTTTGCCGACGACTAATGAAGTACGCGCCCCGCCCGGACGGAACGGGCGGGGGAGAATTCCCGTCGCGTCGATGGCAGGGTGGAACCGCAATTCGCGGGCGATAATTGCGTTTACTTATTAAATCCCAGCCGTGCCTCCTGTTTCCACGAAGAAATCGGATACTTTACCCGCCAGGGGTGGGTTTTCGCGTTCCCGTTTCGGGGTTCCATCGGTTCCAGCTTCTCGAGTTGGGGGGCGGGTCCGGCCTCGGATCGAAGGAATCGAGTCCGTTTCCGGCCATTAAAGCGGCGTAAGGATTAATAATTCCAGGAGTGGGTAATTACCCCCTCGAGCGATTGTCCTACCCCGGTATTTACGAGGAGGCGCCAATCGGAGATCCGTTTAGTGCTCGACGAAAGTCCGGCCAATGAAAACGTAATTTGGCGTCGAGGGGTGGGCCCTCGCTCGGGAAACAAAGTATTTTCTTGAATAATGACCCACTGAAGGGTATTCGAAACGCACTGGCTCATCAGAATATCCAAACAATGGGGGACTATCACTCGAGTTTCCCTCTTTGGAGCCGCTCGAAAAGGAGGGGCCCCACTCCGCTCGGCTCGGCTCGGCCCGGCTCGGCGCATGATACGTCGAGCACCCTAACCCTAGTCAACCCTCGACATCACGTAGAGGGTTCTGAAGCTGTACACTTCCGCTCGCCGGTGAAGAGACGAGACAACCGTCCGCCGACCATCTGTGTAATACGTTTCGCCAACATCCCCCTGACGTCTGCTTCTCCCCCGTTGACATTTTTTTTCTGCCTTCCGCTGTCTCTCTTAAAACCCACCGAGGGTTGGGACCGGTGTTTGCCTTTCATCCTGTCTTACACGTGTAATGAAGCGCGATCCAGGAACGGCACCCCCACCTCTGGTTCCCGTTCTTCCCGAATTTTTCCCAAGCTCTCTGCATAGCGCTTTTCAAGTTTTTCAAGTTTTTACCACTTTTTCAGTTTTCCGGCTTGTCGAGATTTCACCCCTCAGGTCGAGGTCTTAAGGAAGAGGGGAATTCGGGTCGAAACGGAACTTCCCTAACGGCCAGTATTCCCCTCTCGAGAACCGATACTTTTTCCCTCCATCGGACACCCCTCGAGAACTTTTTCACCCTTAATCACGGTTTAAGTTAAATCAAGCGATCGCTGCACGCAGCACCGCCAATTATTTCATCGATTTCCCTCGCATTCCCCCCGCGGCTGATGTTTGCGCGGGCGAGTTTGCCGGCACGCTTGATTTTCATTTATTTTTCACGGGTCCGCCCTCCGCGTGGGAGTTTCGCCTCTTTTCCGCCCCTGAAAGCCCCGGCATCCGTGGACGGAGCCATGCGTACCCGAAAACTTTAATTAACCGAGCTCCGTGCGAAAAAGCCTAAATCAATTGGAGCTGGCTAAATGGGGTGCTTTTTGCAAACAGGCCTCCCCCCGGGAAGGGTATCCCCGGGGGACTCGGCTTAACAAATTTAATCGCGGTAAATGTCGCTCAGTGGATGAAATTTCGGCCGGGGGGTGGGGTGGGCACTCGTATTTCCGGTGGTCTCCTACTTTCCGGTGGACAGTGCCGATGTCAAAACGCGATTTCACACATCAAACCCCCGGGATGGGGTGAAGTCGCCGGACGACTCCCTTCCTTGGAGAGGCCACCCTTGAAATTACGAGTGCAGAAATCGGGACGAGCTTTAAGAGCACTACACGTTCCTCTGGAGCTGCATGAATGACGGATTCAATTCCCGTCGACCTCGTGTGGCGACGATGCTGTGTGGCCCTACCCCATACACCCCACCTCATTACACTTGTGTCTGCTCGCCGAAGCAAAAGCAACCGCGAGTAATACTCGTACAATCTCACCGACAGACGACGAAAATGAGGAGTCTCCAGGAAGAGGAAAAAGTAACCCCAGAAGAGACGAAAGCGAAACCGGAGAACATTCGGCTACCCCTGGTCGTACGTTTTTCGCAAGCTTCCCTCCCCTTTTTTCGCATTTCCCCAAGCATCGATGGGATCCCCACAATATCCGGTGGTAACGATTACTCCCTTAACGACTCCTCTCATTACGGCTGCCGTATCGGCAGGGTTGTTTGGGAATTACCCTTTGTAAGTACCACTCCATGCCACTGTCGGATCGATACAAATGCGCATATTCGCATAAGTATTTAAGTACCCCTCCGTACTCGAGCCCGTTCGATATTGTGCGCATGTCGGCGCATTGTCTTCCTGAACGGCGAATTTTCGCGTTGAATGACCGCCGATAATAATGGCCGTTTCCGGCTACAATGATTTCTTTGGAGAACCCAGTCAAGTGGCATCGAGGCTCCATTCTCTTGAGTCGTTATTGTTGTTGATTGCGACGTGACACGAGGGGGGGATTTATTTTCAGATTCCACCCCTCGTGTGGATGTCGGCTCGCGGGATTGGGAATTTTCGGGTAACGCGATTCCTCCAACTTTTTTTTATGTAAAATGTGCAGTATGCAGAGGACCGTGCATTAAATCCTGGAGAATGGCCGCCATTTTTCAGGGCCCTCGTAACGGGTACGTGGAGTTCTCCAAACGGGCACTTTTCTTCCTCGAGGACCGACGTGCGCGAGCCCTGAAGGGTCGATGCATTATGATCAAATTCCCATTCAGAGACATGGCCGAGCTATTTCGAATTTCCCGGCCCGCGAGAGGGGAGCTCCTCGAATGACATTTCCGACGTGGCCGTTTTTACCCGGAACTCTGGCCCAACTAAAGTTTACTCCTTTTAATTTAATAACCGTGTACGGGAGCGCGTATGAGCCGCATTTAATCCTGGGGTACACATCAAACGCCAGCTGCGGACGATATGCTCCGCCGTTTAATTATAATTCCGGAAATGCGGAAGATCCTGCTCCCTGATAATGCCTTCGAAACTCATTTCTACGCGTTTCCCAGATCTCCTATTAAAAGACACGTACTAAAATCGAGCCTTATTAAATCTCCTTCGGAGTAGAGAGAATTAACATATAACATGGAGGATTTTCGTTTCCGAGCGAGGTCCTAACTTTTCAGGGATCCTGATCTAAGAACCAGGGGAACCAATATGGCGCCACGCGCCTAGATGAAACCTCATGAATTTTTATATTAACCCGACATGAATATGGAATTTCCCGGTGATAGTAAATAATTCTTCCGTCGTTTCTTCCCTAGATGGACATGCATCCTACGAGATGCAGGGGCCCAGCTTCGCAGTGGAGCCGCAGTCCAAGGTGGAGTTCACCAACATGAGCGGAGGTAGAGTGGACTGTGCAGCCAGAGGGAACCCCGAACCTACGGTCGACTGGTTGGCAGCAGACGGGGGTAGCATTTCCAGCATCCCCGGGATCAGACACGTCCTGGGGAATGGGACCATCCATTTTCCAGCCTTCGGGGCCGAGGCCTTTCGCCAGGATGTCCATTGGGCCAGCTACCGATGCTCGGCGATCAACAGCGTGGGGGCCATCGTCAGCAGGGACGTCGCCGTCAGAGCAGGTGATTCCCGAGGGACCTTTCTTTCCTCCAGAACCCCTTGTCCACCTATCCTCGACGGTACCCGGTGGGACTGAATCAGGACCAGGTTTACATCCCTCCGCAGACTCCTCGGACTCCAGAATGAGAGGAACCACCGCGATGACCCTTAAAGTCTAGTCGATAAAATGTCCGTTCATCGGAATCCACGTCCACTCGTAAAGAGATTAGGTTACGTGGGTCAGGACAGCCTGGTACACCCAATTGCGAGCAGCGATTTGCTGGATTTAATGGGGCCCTTTTAGCAGACAGTGATAGCCGCATAAAGCTTGGATGCACCGATACCAGCCGGGGCGGTAAATACCTTGGGCAATTTCCAAGTGAGCATGTGCCTAACGTATCCGGTGACGACGGGTACGCTTGTCGTTGTTGATCTGGAAATGAGATATCCACCAAGGGTATCGGGTTGTCGTATCTGGTTAGCGAGAGAGTGATACATCTCACGAGGCGCGATTGCGGCCTCTTTGGGACGGATTAATTTTATTCCCGGATTATTGAATCGCGATTGCGCACAGTGAAACGAGCAGTACACCTTGAAACATGATCTCGGGACTTCCGAAATCCCAAAACGAGATCCCGGGATTTTATATATATTCTCACGACGCCTCCACTTTTTCAAGAATCCCGGCAATTCCGCGTCCGACCATTTTGCCAAGTGATCGCTTTAAAGCGAATCCAGGAGAACGGAAAGGATCCTAGTTACGGGCATGGAAAGTCTGCGAAGGACTCTGATTAAAATCCTCCTCCCCGGACACGTGGGGATAGACATCCGGGGCTCATAATATTTATTTCGCCCCCATTATACACGGGGTTCCCATGTCTTTTTGCCCCGGTGTCGCGTAATCGATGCAGCCCCCGGTGTCGGAAAAATGTGCTTTTCCGGGCCCTCGTGGTAGACAAAGAGTAGACTCGGCGTAGACTTCTCCGGAGTTGCAAATCGAGCTCGCAGCTTCCTCGAATCGAAGCTGATCTCCATTTCCACCGGGAATCGGATCGGCCCCTTTCTGCCAATTTGTCTTTCCCTATTTTCCCGATTTTTGTTTATTTTACTCCCAGCCCTTTCAGCTTCCTGGGAAACTGCTCGAATGTTTGCGCCGCGCTGGGGGCGCGCAATTTCAGCCGGTGCATTAGGGGTGGATTTATATGCGACCGGGGTTGATTTTTCCGCCGGCGGCGAAAATCCCGGAAATTCTGCGAGCCTCGGAAGACTCTGCGGCTTAAGCATTGCCTTCATTAGAAAGTACGAAACACGGTGCAAACACGTTTCCCTGACGCCGGGGTGGTGGGTGGTCGGGGGTGGGTACGTGTTCGGTACTTCCAACAGTTTCTTGGGGAACTCTGCATTATTTCCACGTACACGTGACATCTTCCCTGGGATGTTAAAAGAAATGGAAGTTACGGCCGTCGGACGATGTTTCCCGGGAACTTGAAGAAATGCACCGCGGTGGTCTTCACGGTGCACCCCCGAAGGGATGCAGTCCTGGCAAGTTGGGGCTGTGTGAGTGCACGTGTCCACCAACCCAAATTGCACGCCCGAAATGCACGCAGGTATGGAAGTACGTACGTGATGTAACTTGAGACGAGAATCTGCAATTTGCCTCGCCGGGGCTGACTTGAACTTGAAGGAAGAGACTATCGACTCAGCTTCAATTTCTTTTTTCGGCTCGAATGGCTGCTTGGGAGAAATTTAGAAGAAGTGTTTAAATTTACATAAAAATATTCAGATAAGGCATCGAATGTGTGAGATGCTCTTCCTATTCGAGCCTTCCAATGTCTGGACTGATTTAGACGTAGAATTATATTTATTTTATTTATTCGAATTCCTTTGAGTCGAATAATTACTTTTTTTTTTAATTAATAAAATATTTCCTTCCCACTATTCAAAGAAATATTTTCGTTGGTGTCTTTCCCAGGGTATTTCTGACCTTAAGAAATTACGACCGGGCATCAACCCTAAGAAAAGATATTTCCGGGGGTGGCGTTGCCGGCCGCCCAAACCTTCCTGGATTTTTTAAGGGCTCATTTTAATTTAGCCTTCCTTTAATTTGCTAACCGGAAGGGGCTTCAGGACGACTCTTGAAAATTCCCTGGTTTTACGGGTAACGCGGCGCACTTGGTTATGGGCCAATTCGTACGTTATTCCTGGAGGGACGGGGAAGAGGCATGCATTCGAGAGGAGGGAACCGCGGCTCACAAAGGGTCCGTTTACTCGATGAAATTGCTGCCCCGAGTATATATCCGTCATAACGAAGTATCTCCCCAACGGAGGAGGAGGGCCGAAAAGAAACGGCGCGGGAGAAATCCGTAAACGCCGCGAAGGGGTAATTAGAATGCGGAAAGCCCTTTCCGCGCGCGGAATACGTCCCTCGTTAATTTCCGCCCCGCGAATTAGCCCCGGGCACACGTCGGAAAGCTTGACCGTTTTGCTGGACCGCTCAGGAAAAGCGAATGTCGAAAATCGTGCTTCCCCAAAATCCCCTCCCCCATCCTTCTCTCGACTTCAAAAATCCACGAATCGCTCAATAATTCCCTCCAAATAAAATAAAATAAAATAAAATAACGGCAGAGAAATATGTACCCGCGTCAAAGGGGCGATTCTCAAACTTTGCAGTCCACGATTCGGCCTGCAATATTGATATAAATTGCTCTCGGTCGGCGGTGCGCTTTTATTGCGGAGATAAAGCCAATTCGATTGGCCGGCCTGACAGGCTGACGTAGACTCGAATGGAACAACTGCGGGAAGCGTCGTTTCATATTTTCCGACAGAGTTTTCGAATTTGAAAATATGCCCCCCCTCGCCGGGCGGTTTTTCGAATCGTGCCATTTTTTTGGGAAATAATGGTTTATAATGGAAACTCGGATGGATGTAGTTCCTCGAAAACGAGTGCGGCCCTTTAAATGCGACTATTTGCTCGCGTGAGGCAGGTCGCGGACCAGTTTCGCGAAAACGCGATTGAACTCCGAACATGGGATTTTGCCGAGTGCTCATTGTCTGCTCGATCATGTAATTAACGAAGATATACGCGAGAAACAAAGAAGAGACTTAACGCATGCGTGGCTGCGCCGAGGGATCGCAATTAAAGCAATTACAGCGGGCCTTCAATAAAAGCAGTCGTCATAAGGACCGCGATGTAACGAGAGAGGGTGCGTAGTTGAATTAGCCTCACCGACGAGGTATTTCGGCCAGGTGGAGCGAATGATTTTTGCCGATGATTTCCACTGCCGGTAGCACCTCGGAAAAAAAAAAAATCGGGAAGCCTCTCTAACCGTGGTCCCCCCAGATTTTTTTAATAAGTGCGATCGAAGATGTTTTTATAGAATTAATAAATACGGATCGAAGATGTATATCTCCGGATTAAAAGTTCGGCGATCGCCGGCGAAGCCACCCTCGGAGTTGCAGAAAAGCCCAGTCCACGTCGTAATTAAAACTTTACCCGGAGCTTTTGTCAATTCCGCGAACTAATTAGCCTAACGTAATACAATCGTCGGCGGGAGGGAAGTTCTTACCGAAGTTGCGCCGAGCGCACTCCGCGTTTGCGGAGACCGAGAACGGGTCGATAAGTTCAATCCGAAATTGAGATACAGTGATGGGACGGTGATCAACGATCCGGTACATCATCCCTCGAAAATCCTGACTGGACAGGGTAAGGCGATTGAATTGAAATTCTAGGATTTCAGGGACGATGAGAGTACTCTACAATTTTTTGGGTCCAATTAGAAATTGAGATAATGCGATAGGACGGTGATTAACGATCCGGTATATCATCCTTCGAAAATTCTGACTAGTTAGGGCGAGGCGGTTGGATCGAAATTCTACGTTTTCGGGGGCGCTGAGAGTACTCCGAATTTTGGGCGAGCGTTAGGGGAGAGCACGGGGGGTGCTCGATTTTCCGGAATTCCTCGATTGTTCGAAATCCGCGGGTTGCGGCTTTCTCGGGCTCCTTAAATGCCGGGCTCGTAGACCCGAGGCCATATTTCATGGTTTGCAAATAGCGCGCGGCATGAAATGTCTGCCGAGTTCATGCTCGGCTTAGCGGGGTCGCTTTCTCTCTCTCTCTTCCCAGTGCGATACGGAAAGGGACAAACTCGCCGAGTTTTTACCCCCGTGCCGTCCTGAGTGCCTCGCTCGGCTGGCTCTCGAAAAGGGTTGCGAAACTCGCACAGTGGTGCGGTACCCTCCTTCGAGTAGTCGAAACGGGTGCAAAAGGAAAGCCAGAGAGGGGGGCACTGTTCTTGAAGTTGAAATCCTGCTGGAGATGCTAACTTTTTCAAGCGCGGAGGGAAAACCGCACCCCCTGACGTCTCGGGGTAAAGGGTAGCGCCAGGTTCCCTCGGAAGAGCGTCGCGCGTCGAGTCCCTCGGGAAAGGGAGTACAGGGTACCGATCCTCAATGAAAGGGGTAACTCCGGAACATCCCCAGGTTCAGGAGGAGCAACCTCGACGAACGTTCCAGGGAAAGATCAAAAAGGAAGGGTCATGGGTGATCCCTAGCTCCACTGACGATGCCGACTCTCTGCCGGCGATCTGCCATAGCACTAGGTGGTCGTCGAACGATCGTGGGTGATCCCTGGTACTTAGATTCAAGGTTCCTTCGTGGTTTGTACCTGAATATCGCATGCCATTGAGCGTCTGGCGAGTTCATGGTTGACTTAGTTGGGCTCAGTCGGGGCCGCGATATGGAAAGCGGCGAGCTTACCGAGTTTTTACCCCATTCTGGAGTCTGAGTGCCTCGCTCGGCTGACTCTCGAAACGGGTTGCGAACCCTATGCCGCAGTGCTTACGCCCTTCCCGCTTTTGCCTCCTTAGAGCGGCGCCCTTACCGAGGCTGGCAGCCCCGTCGGCCTTACCAACCTTCCCGTCCTTCCCGACCTCGCGCACCCTCCGACTCGAAAAGCTCGTTCTAGCTAGGCTCTCTCTGTTTGCGTGTTCCAGTGGTGAACCAGCGGTACGATCCGGAAGTGCAAAGTCCCGGCGGTTTCCTGGGCAGCAACGTACTTATGCGCTGCAACGTTCCCAGCTTCGCGCGCGACCACGTAGCAGTTACGTCTTGGCTCCAGGAGCCCTCCTTCAACATATACCCCTCGACCATAAGTGGTAAGTTTGGGAGCTGGTTACCAGAGTTGGCGGCTTAGCGAAGACCAGGCTGCGATTGCGGTTCGAGGGGAAGAGCCGGCTCAAGAATCCCGGCGCCTTCTTCCTGGAGCTGGGCCTTCTTCCAGAAGTCCGTTGACCTCAAAGAGAACCTGCCGATACTGTCCTCCGGTCGAGGGATCGAATGACTTGGGTTTGGCCTTTGAATAAAATTAACGAAATCATCGTTCGAGTGCGTGGACGGTTGAAAAACGTCAGGGGTCGGTAGGATCAGGGACTCCGGACTTCTCGACTTTGCTGGGAGTTTCGCACTTCCAGTACCTCGGGACCTGGGAGGGACCCTCTTCCGACCACCTACACGTGTGCATGTATGCATGGTAAGTGGTAAGTTACGGAATTAGTCAACTTCGCGAAGCCCGGGAGCGAGGTGCGATTGCGATTCGAAGAGAGCCGAGTCGAGTCAAGAATCTTCTTTACTCCTTACGGCTACTCGGGGCCCTACTTAAGCGCTCCTTGGGGAGTCTTCCGCTCGCACTTGGGAGAGAAGACGTTATTAATAAACTTGAATACCTCCCGACACCGAGCTCCGAAAGGATTACCTAGGTCTCTGTTGCTACCCCGGTCGCAACTTACACCCCAGTTAAGTGGTTCGCAACCCCGGAGTTCGTTCAGAAAACGTGCAGAAGGAAGAAAGCCCTACCAAGCTCTCTTCCTCCAATGGCTGGATTCTCCCAAGCTGGAAATCATTCTCCCAAAAAGGGGCCCATCGGGATCCTCGCTGGAGGTGCATCGAAAACCAGAGACATGCGCTATTTCCGCGGCATGGGAGATTATGTGTATACATTTGTTCCCTCTTCAAGTTTGGCTTCCCCCTCGCAGGATTCACGGGCACGTGGCTTGGCCTTGACAAGTTTCGTCGCAGGAATAATCCTTCAGGACCGTGTAGTTCTCTCTTTTCTCTGCAAGGAACGAGATCATCCGCGGCTGGGATGCAGCCGGACGCTAGATCCGGGAATCATTGAGCATTTCCAGGGATTTTAGGGCAATCCGGGACTCATGTGGAGTTTGTTCTGTTCGCAGACGGGAAGTACCACATGCTGCCGAGCGGGGAGCTGATGATCATCAACATAACCCGATACGACGCCGACATGACCTACCGCTGCAGGACGCACCACCGATTGACCCAGGAGACGGTCGTCAGCAGCAACGTGGGTCGCATCCAGCTCACGGGTGAGTGTTGCCTCCTGGTTTGCCGGGGCAAGGACTGTTTGCCATCCTGGCTGGAGAGTCCGCTCAGGAATTACTAGGCTCCCACTTCAAAGGGCCCGCAATGTTCTCGCAACCCCCCTAACAGCGTTTCCCAGGGAGCTCCATTTGCTGGCGGCCGGAACCCGGGAACTTCGTTTCGCGCAAACTTTGGAATAGCGAAACTTTCGACCTCGCTGGAATTATGCGAGAGCTGGCGTGCCGCGCTAAAAGGAATCAGGGCTGCGCTCCGTGCACTTGTCTGGCCTGGACGGACGATTGGGAGGTGATGGGTGCTTTTGCCCCAGGATGGGTTTCCAGAATTCTGGATTTCGGAGTCCTCCACGGGTAGTTTGGCATTTTGGGCAGGAACGAGTCGAGCTTGGTCGAAGCAGGCTTGGAGGCCTAGAAATGGGCCGGTCCCGTTTTGCGGACGGATGACGATGATCCGGGGTAGCAAGCGAGTGACCCAAAAAGTCCTCTTCCAGCCCCGGAGCGCTACTTCTGAATGGTTTTCGGGACGTAGGTCGAGCAGGGATAGGGTTTCCGCTCCTCTTCTCCTGGCATCCGGCCTAGGAAGCTCGCGCCGATATAGGGAGGCGCAAAGCGAAACCCAATTCCGCGCTCCGAAATCTCCATTACATGCCGGCTGTTCCTAGGTCGGACGTCCAGCCGCATATCCGCGGATATCCCGTGAAATACGGAGGGCATGTGTCACCCGAAAGGACCTCCGGTGTCCCGGAGACCCTCGCCACGGGCTGACGGGATTAAATACATTCCCCAGGTGTCGCGTTGCCCGTTGTCTCTCTGGGATGCCGCCTCTTACCCCGTTTAATCATACTCTAATTCGCGTTGCCGATGTAATATCAGACCTCGGGATATCCTGGGCAGGCATCCTGGAATTTCGGGAAGGAGCGGCATCGGGAAATCCGGGACAAGTCGTCCTGGGAGTCCTCTCGGAGCTGACGGTACCGATGACCGAGTAGACGACCGATTCGACATCCACTCCCTGCAGACGCGATCGGCCGGTTCCGCGATTTCATCGGGTGGGGATAATCAGTTTCCAGGACGAACCCGGGAAATCAATCGGCCGGTTAAGGAGGAATATAATAAATGGCTCCGGATTTCCTCCCATCTCTCTCGTGCGCCAGCGGAGTAGTAGAACGAGGTTCGCTCGAGTGGGCGTCTGTCCGTTATAGCATTCCGACGACATCGACACCCACTCCGGCGCAAAAGCGCGTCTCCGGTGACAAAGAGGTCCCCGCTTAATAATCCCTTTTTGACATCTGACGGAAAGGCTTCCCGAAGCGTGCTCGAGCTGCCAAAAAGCCGGCGCGGAGAGAGTGCGCGCCGACCGGGTGGAAAGTGTGCCGGTTGTGTATCTCCAGGAGGAATTGGATTCCGGGACGTCCTGGGACGTCTCCTCGGGAATTCGTCCACCCCCGTATGGATGGCTCCTTGACGGAAGTAGCTATTATTGCATTCCGACGACGTCGAAGCACCCCCACCCATCCTGGCGCGAATTACACATCCCATGGGAAGGGTTCGCTTCGGATATGCAAACGTGTCTTCGGGGCGCGACTCGTTCTCCAGGGCGGAATTCTTGGGTGGAGTCCGCATAGAGAACCTTGAAGAACCAGGGTTGAAATCCTGGGATCGATCGAGTCGATGTTGGTCATGGACCAGTCCACGAGGTCCCAGCTCGAAAGTAAGCCGCTGAATCCGGAAAACCGAAGAAGTGCATTCGAGAATTGAGGTCTGGGTCGGTCGTCGGCGACGAGCCTCCACCCACTGCTGCCTAGCCCTGATACCTCCTAAATTCCATCCCCTAGAAGAAGGATGCTTCAGGGGGACTCTAGCAGAACGAGGGTTGGAATCATGGGATCGAACGTGTCGGCATTGCTCATGGACCCGTCCATTCGGTCCCAGCCTGGGAATAAGTCTCCGGAACCGGGACACTGGAGAACCATGGCATTGGAGAATCGGTGCCCGGTGTTGGTCTTCGACGGGGAGTCGAGGGGGAGTCTCCCCCGATATCGGTTTCTAAATTCCATCCCAGAAATCCGCAGGACCGATCCCCATCGCGGCCGCCATGTAAACGTCAACCATCACCGGCAGAACCCTGGGAGCTCCGGAACTGCGGGAACCCCGCGTTCTCGTCGAGAGGGCTGCTGAAGTTGCAAAGTCGTTAGCGGAACGCTACTCCCCGAAGCCGGCCCACCGACTTGGGGGGCCACTCGAAGAGAGTCTCTCTAATCCCCCGTTTGACGAGTTCCATCGGCGGCGCTGATTGGCGCGGAAGTTTTAGTTGGCGCGCCGTACCAGAAGGCATATTATCCTGGGGGAAGTTGGATCCTCCGGATCCTCCCGCGAAGAGTAGGTTCCCCTCCTCCGGGGAAACAACAATAATTGCAATAACGCCGGACGGCGACGGGGTGCTCGATGGGACGTGAAGTCGATTCGGTGGCTGGGGGTGGCGTACGTACACGGGGCCACCCTTGTGTCTGAGGTCGAGACCAACCCCGAGAGCTCGACAGCATGCAGAGGAGCTTCGTTAGTTAGCCCGGCTCGAGTGGAGGATTCTCATCTTCCTTCCCGTTTCCGGCGTTCCCCCGGTGTCCGGACCCCTCTCCCACCCCCCAGACCCACCCAGGGGGTGGCCCCGGCCGCGAGAAGACTCCGAATTTCTTGCACGGCGCGTTTCAGCCGGATTGAATTTTTACCTGGAGCGCCTCGGGGAAGAAATGAAATTTCTTCCGGGCAAACACCGCCGGGCAAACTACGGGGGTAGTTACGCCGCGCACCCCCCTAGGGCCTCCGTGTCTCACCCCTGGAGCAGCGCCGTGTCTCCTCCCAGATTATAACGGCCTGAGACTTTGGCTTTTCTCCGTTTCCACCCTTCGTCGGAGCCCTTGTCTCCTTTTTCTTAACCCTGCTTTTAACCCCCTCGGTTCGCCGCACCCCCCCTCCCCGAGCTTTCGGTGCGCATTAATCAGCGAAGGTGTGCTTTTTCTCGGGATTATTTTGAAAACTCGGAGGGAACGCCGGGGTCTGTCTCGAGGGTGGCTCTAATTAGAATATCCGGATTCTAATGGAGAGAACATCGCCCCCGATTTTTCCTGCTTCCTTCCCGCCTCTTGTCGGGCTTAATTTAATTAAACCCGAAGAACCCATCCGAGGCGGAAGGTGGGTTACTGGGTCTTCTCTTCGGGTTCGTTTATGCCATTCACGGTAGTTCGCTTTGCTTCTGGGTGAATTAGAATTATGAAATTACTCTTTCTTTGCGTCGGGACGCGGATCGACTCGGTTTAATGCCGGTCTCGGAATTCTGCCTTTCGAGGGTTACAGTTCCTTTGGATACATTTTAAACTATTCTACTATTATTTTAACAGTTTTGATTTTTAAGGACCAAGTGCTGCTTAACGAGTCTTTCGGTGCGTCGTGACTTTTCTACCGTCGGGGCGAATATTAATCGACACGATACGGAATGAAAGCCCTCGAGACCGACTCGAGAACATCGAATCCTTCTTCAGGTTCTAGCGAAGAATCGACCGACGTAGATTCTGCAAAGTATCGTTCTCGCGAAGCAGATTACCATTCGCTTAATCCGATTTTTCCATTTAACTCCTGCTGGGAGAGGTTCCGATAACGACGCTAAATCCTAAAGTCGGAAGAGTCGACATCTGATCGCCTTGAAGAGGCACAGAATGAATTTGAAAATTCTTTTCCTGATAGTACGTTGAATTGAATAGTGGGAATTAAGTACCGGGGAATTAAATCGAGCGGTACGTTCATTTTTTATTTGTGCCTTGTACCGACTCCGATTGGCTTCTTTTCAATGAGACCGAGTCGCGTGGCCACCTTTTACCGACTCGTGTCGATTGAAGAGGAGCTCGGTGTGTTTCAATTTACATGCGCATTCGCCGGCTGTGATCAGGCTCCTCTCGGCAAACTTCGGCTATACCTAGTCCTATCCTAACTCTAACTCGTTCGACCAACTCCGGAGATTGCTACATGCTGCGAAGAAGACACCACTGCAGAGATAGGAAAGGGCGGCGCTGATTAAAGGCCCGGAGTAACTCGGTTCCATCGGCCGCGACCCGAAATTAAATGTGCGATCGAATTAACGTACGAGATTAATGTCCCCGTAAATTCGACATGCATTCATTCTCGTCCCTACGAATCCATTTTCCCCTGGTAAAGGTTCCCTATGGCATCGGAGTCGCTTCAAATGGTCCTTGAAATTTTTTCGGCAGGACTCTCGGTGGCCGACGTCAACGGGAAAGGTACGATCTCGTCAGGGTGGAAGGGTGGTCGCCCTTCGAAAAATATTTCCGTGGATCTGGATTCCCATGAAAGGCGTCGGCGGATATATTAGGGATAGGGCGGAGGGTGAATTCACCCTCAAAGGTAAATTCGCCTCGGCTTCCAGGGACGATTCCGCCCCGGAGTCGAAAGATAGGAATCTGCTTCCGCGGCAGGGTGGTGTGAAACCCCTTTAGCGAATCGCATCGTAAGACGCAGGGTACTCGGTTTTAGTATCTGCCCCCATAATTCCCCATTAAATGTGGCTGACGGCTACGCCTCGGCTATACCCGGGTTACCCACTCTCTCTTCCTCCCTTTTCACCTTGGTCTCTGCTCTGGGATTATTTATGACGCACACGTCGGGGAAAACATTTCCCCGTATATCATAGGCAAACTTATATGAGCTCATTCGCGAAGGAGGGAACCCAACGGCCGATATTAAGGAAGCCTCGAAAATATTACTCCGCAACCCCCGCCATGGGAAATACTTGAGGGGCTGCTGCGAATTCTTCCTCCCCGGCCGACATCTTGCTTTTCATTTTAATCCCGTCCTCCCTCCCCGCCGAGAAGGAATTTCCTTTTTTCTTCTTTTCCTTCTGCCAGCCCCACGCTCCGTTTGACACTTTCAGCCCCAATAACTTTTAGGAGGGCTCAAAGCTCCTTATAAAAATAACCCTAGGGACCGTCCGAGCGGGCTTTTATTTGACTCGGCTGATTTTGAACTTTAGTCAAGACCTCGAACTAATTTTCCCCCCCGTTCTTTTTCCATTTTCCGAAACAGTCTTCCCTGCAATTGTCCATATTTAAAGTGCAGCCTTTGCAGAACGAAATGGTCTCTCAGCGACTACGAATATTGTACGCGAAAAGAAGAGCAGGGGATCCTGCGAAGCGGTGCTCTTTGAAAAAGACATCCCCGTTTATCCCGACCCCTCTAATCGCGCATTTCAGCCGACCGTTTTTCGCGTTTATGTTTATTGGAATGTATGGCGGGGCATTCACGAAATACACGTGTTTCGGCCGGCCATTATTCTTCCTTTATACCGGTTATCGAGCAATACGCGTACGTGGAAACGTACATAAGACACGCGCCACGTATGTGAATTTCCATGATTTACGAGGGTCGGGCTGACTTTTCCGAATTTTTACAGACAGCCGCTTAATCGAGACTCTTCTGAAATTCCAGAAATCCGGGACTCGATGCCGCCGATTATCAATGAGAAATTAATCTACAAATCCGTGAGAGTGGAGGACGTCGTCGTGCTGCCTTGCGTCGCCTACGCCCATCCGCGGCCCACGAATAGGTAAGGAAATAATTAATACCATTATGCCCGGACTTTAATACACTTTTTGTGGACCTCATTTTGACGCCATTCTTCTGCGGACCTCTGGGGGAACTAATAATTCGAGGCGGAAAGTCGCGTTTGGCGGGGCATTCCGAGGAAGCACCCTGCCGATTATGCGGAGTGCATAAACGCTTTCATGTACGCCGCGGGAATACATATTCCCGGTTTTCTATATTAATGGTTATTTTAAACATGGAACCTCCTCCGAAGATTGCATCGCGCGATATTCTTTCCCCTGGCGAACGTAGTCGGGGTATATTGACACGAACTAACATCTAAATTTTCAACGTGGCTCCCGCCCCTTATATGCACCCCCTTCTACATACTTTTTTGTCCGTCGGTAACCGGAGTCCGCCTCTTAAACAGGGTGTACATATTCCGAATCGGCCCTAATGGACGTGGCCAGAAATTACATTTCTAGGTACTACTCCAAACGGATCGGGCGGACCTTTTAATAAAGCAAAGTTCACCGAAGACCTCAAATAATTGCATTCACCCTTTTCGATTATTCATTTTTTCCCAGGGAAATAGGGAAGAGTTCGTCCCTCTCTTTTCTTCCGCTTTCACCCCCAGCGTTCGCCTCCCCGTAATACGTGACCCAGAATATCCGAGAAATTCGATGTAACAGTCCCGGCGAAATTCCAGTCCTATAGTATTCTATTAATCCAGAGATGGATGAGGATTTCAGTTCTAGACCGGGCCTCGAGTACACGGAAGACATTTTAGAATTAAAGGGGACGCGGCCGCACCCCGGAATCGAGGATTTCCATATCTGGCTAATAAATTCGAGATTGCTCCGCGAGAGACGACACCCTCGATGGTCATTATCCCCCTTCTCGAGAGTCTCTAGATAAATGAACTGGGTCTTCCTTCAGCATTGGATAGTAAAAAAATTCCCCATTTGTTACTCCGAATAAAATGGCCAAATAAACACGGGGGAGAGGCAGCCACACTCGGAGATAGAAACGGCAGACTCGCCAACAAGGGGGGCAGACCTCGGAGGGGATTAATTCGGGATTAACTCGGGGCGAACTTGGGGGGGCGAAACTTTGAGAAAATACGGGACTTTAAAGCGTTCCTCCCTCGCTTTCGTGATTTTAGGGAAAATCAAAGCAGACCAGGTCGCCCGGCCTTTGTCGAGGCCCGAAGAAGCGCGAGGACCGGCGCCATATTCCCTCGCAAACTGCCGAGGGGCACTCGAATAGTTGGCGAGAGTTTCGGATTCGATTTCGATTAAGTGGAGCACCGTGACATCGGAAGCGCGGCTTTAAGGGTTATATTTATTCCGTATTATCGCAGCGCCGAGGGGGGATGAATTTAGCAGGATCCGGGGATGGATTTGAATTCGTGCGAGCGGGAGGACCAGCATTGGCCAAAGTAAATGGAAATCCAAGGGAGGTTCGCGTCAACACTGACTCGCCCGATTCGTGGAGGACCTCTGGCTGCAGCGCGGGAACAATGGGATTTATTCCGAAAAAGAGCGCTCCCATAAAGTCGACCCTGGAGAAGGAGATACCGCGGCAGGGAAGATGGGCGCACGGGGTGGTTTTTATCGGGCCATCTTTATTTCCAGGCGGCGATGAAATTTGCAAACCGCCTCGCGGATGCGCGCGAAACGACTCCACGAGCTGGGGATGCAGGGTTGAAAATAACATTTGTCGGTAAAATCCGCCAGGGTGGAGGAGTTCGCGAAGGACCCGGTCCTTTTTCTCCCCCCGATCGCGACCGATTTGAAAAACGTCGCCGTCGATGAAGTCTTTGGCGGCGGCGATGGCTCCGGTTCGGAAGAGCACATCGATCGGGCCTTCCCGTGGGAATCTCGCGAGCAAGCGGATGAAAACGAACTCCCGTGAATGCGGAGTCGCGTCTTTCCGCCCGCCCGGGCCAGGTTTATTTATTTCGGAATCATCTCTCGCATTTGAATCCGAGAGACGCGTTTCGAGGGTGGGCGCGGGCGGCGGGCCAAGGAGGAGAGTCGGTGGACGCGGAGAGGAGCAAAAGGGACGGCGAGGAGGGGTAAACGTACCTAGAGGAGGAGATGCAGTTATCATCCTCGGATGCGGATGTACCCGGAGAAAGGACGGCATACCGAAGCCCTTATTCCGCTTTGGCGAGTGCAGATTCCCTGTCCGGCATTGATCAGGTGCTCCCTTTCGAGGACCCTTGCATCCTTCTTTTAAGGGATCTTACGTACTTCTCCTATTTTCTTGAGCAGATCCAGCTCGATCCAAGTGAGAAGAATCGACGACAGAAAACAAAACCGGAGTAAACGTCATTAACATTCTCAAATTCGAGATTCCAGAGGAAGGACATCGCGTGAAGCTCTTACTCCACTTTGGCATTGTCCAGGTTCCCCGTTGGTCCGGCATCGATCGGACGTTCCGCGTCCAGCACCTTGATATCCCTTTCTCAGACCCCTCGGGTCCTTGGTGCCACCCTGGGTGCAAAATCCAGTCTCACCGGGTCCAAACGATCGGCGTCCTTCCGAGTTTACCTCTTTCTCGTGTTTAGGCCCTGCTCGCTCGGGCACGCCCGAGTGGAGGGACAAACTCGGTCCGGACGCTTGGAGAGACCGCTGCCGGAGGGCGAGAGAGACCGCGGCGAAGAGAGGCGAAGAGAGGCGAAAAGAGGAAGAAGGAAGACACCCGGGGAGATATACGGTGGAGACGTCGCTGTATGGGTAGCGCAAACAAACCGACCGCTGATTACAGAGACTGCTCCTGACAGCCCATCAAATATTCCGCGTTTACGTGTACGCCGCCGTCACCGGGTATTCCGCTGCTTGTGTTCCGGGCCGGGCGCTGCCTCGCGCTACCCTCCACCTCGAGCTCTACCCTCTACCTCGCTCCGTACCCCACGGTTGACTCAGCGCGAGGAGAGTCTGAGGGTTTGCCACCGCAGCACGGCTCCCATCTCCGACTCCCGGCCTCCACCCTGAGAGCGTCTCCTCCCATCGCCAATTTCCCTCCGTAAATTCGATTATCTATAGGTATACCCGGCCCGTTTTCTCCGCGGCGGAGTAAGCAGGGCCGAGAGAACGCTTCGCGGGTTTCCAACTACGCGGGGCCGCCTCCACCCGTGAGAAGTGCGCCACGAGGAGCGCGTTTATTACGTGAACCCGGGATATTTAACGTCGTCCTTGCCTCCCACCTCTTCGCGTCTTTGAAAATACGCCTTGATTGCGAGAACTCGGGGACTCTTGTCGGGAACTCGGGAGCACGCTGTTCGACAGGGTTCCTGGACCCCTGGTGTCCGAAGCCTCTCACCTTGGTACTCGCGGTGGTACCCCACTCTGGGCACGTCCACTTTGCGCTATTACGGAGGAAAGAATTGCCCTAAGTCGTTGCACTTCGGCAATTCGACTTTCGATGAACGAAGTTTCAATTTTCAGGAATTTTAGGGCTGGGATTTTTGTTCTGTGGGTTTCGGGCTTGGGGGAGTCCTCTTTCCCTGAGGACATATGGATCCTCGGTATTCTTGTCAGAGGACCACTCTATTACCGGATCCCTGGGCCAATTGGCGTCTTTTCACGTCTCGAAAACCCCCCCTAAATCTATCCGGTCGCTCGAAGCGAATTTGATTACCCACGCGCGCGCGAGTTCGTGACGAGTAGGCAAAAGGCGGCCTTTCAGCGGCGGAATCGCCGCGGCGGAAACGACCTGGTCGGCCCTGCTTCCTGGCTGCTCGAAAGCCTTCCTGATGGGGAATTACTGGGACAGGGACGTCGTTGGGATTCGGAAGTTCTTTGGTCCTATTGGCCAAAATCATGGGCAGTTTCCTGGAGATCCGAGAAAATTTGCCTAACGTTACCTAACCGGATCGACCGATGATGCCTTAATGTTTCTGCGTTCCGTTTCAGGTGGTACTATAAACGCAACCAGAGAGAGGACCCCATAGAGGACCTATCGGGACATTTCCTGATCCGCGATGGATCTCTTATCATACAGGGAGTCCAAGAGACCGACAGTGGGTCCTACATGTGCACCGTCAGCAACATGAAGGGCAGCGAAACTTTGGAGATCAAGCTCTCCGTTTCGGCTCCCCTGAGTGTCCACATCCAACCCCTGATCCAAACCGTGGATCTGGGCAAACCTGCCAACCTGGTGAGCACCGATTCCCTTCCCCGTTAAATTTACACAAAATGTTTATCGAAATTTGGAAAAAACCGCCAGCGTTGAGGGTCCCTCAAAAGCTCATCAGCTGATCATCGAAGATACCGTTCCAGTATCAACAACCCCGGTTTATCGAAACTCCGCTCATCTGGGGCCCTCAATTTAAATTTGTATAATTACCGGGACTTCTTTCCACAATCGTTTCCACGTTGAGCTCTATCGGCTCCAAAAGCACTCCCCGTAACTCCGGGCAGTCCATTCTCGCCATCCATCCGCATTACGCGTGACGTGCACCCGATGTGACGATTCCGTCCCATTATTTGGCGATAAACATATCCCCGTGGCGGCGTGTTTACCGGCAAACAGAGCCGCCATTGGCAGTCCAATTAAATATACGCATCCGAAATTAAAAGTGGCATCAAATCGATGGGGTCCCCCGAATGCCAGGGCGGCGTTCCATTAAGCGTTTCGTGATATGAGGCCCTGATGGACGGTCCCCTCGGGGAAAAAGTATCACAGGAAGTACTTTTTAGCTCAAAAATGAGGAACTGGGCCAGGGGACCAAGACCGTCAGAGAATTGGACGGAATCCCTGGAAATTGATCATCCTTTGATATGGACCTTCCGTTTCTGCCGCAGACGTGCATCGCCAGTGGTTTTCCGCAAGCCACGCTCTATTGGCTGAAGGATGGCCAACCCCTACGAACAGGTGCCAGGGTCAGAGCAGTGTCCAGGGAAAGGGTTACCCTGACTTCGGTGGAGCACGAGGATCGGGGGATGTACCAATGTTTCGTCAGGAACGAGAACGAGATGGCCGAGGGCGTCGCCGAGCTGCGACTTGGGGGTGAGTCCCAGGGGTCTTAACGGCGCGTTACAGGGCCGCCTCGTTATTTTTACGCCCCCGATGGGGTTTACGGCCGATTAAAGCCCCTGCAAATGAATAGATCGGCTCGTTCGTTTTATACGGTCCCTTTTACTACTTTCGATTTCGCCGATTAACGGATGATCGCGACCCAGGGGTACCGCGCTGGGGGGATGTCTGCTCTGCATATCCAGCGTTAAAGATGACGTGCTCAGGGGTATTTAAAACGGCGCCCGGTTTTAAGCGGGTGTTTGCGGTGGATGTTCACCCGGGTAATTGCGTCTTCCACTCGTTAAACGGAGGAATTAGCTCGTTTGGCCGCTTTGATTTAAATTAAGGGTCCCGCCTGCCCGGCCAGGATACAGTTTTGCCCCTCCACCGGGAGGGCTGTAAAATTGGTTCCACTTCGTTTTACCGGGATTATCGTGGGAAACGGCGTTAGCGGTTTAAGCGGGAAATTTATGCAGTCTGAAGTGCCGGGGCGGAAAGGGGTGCGTTTTGCAAGGAGACCGCGCCCCTCCGCGTTTCGGCAGATTCTCATGCCTCGCGGTAACAAGGGTTGATGATCCGTTCCTACGGGTCGCTGTTAATTTTATCCTGGCGTAACGGCGAGTAACAGGCACCCCTACGGTATGTCGGACTCGCCGGAACGACCGGGGCGTTATGCGCGATTTTTTAATTTAACTCCGGCCCGCGTTGGAAATTGTCGCGTCGCGGATTCCGGAAACCCCCCTTCTGGGAGCTCGGTGCGCGGCTTCGGCTTTTTCGAAAATTCCCATTTCTAGAAGTGCCGAGTGGATTAGCGAGAATTAATCGCGCAAATGCGCGGGCACGTGGCCCTCGTTATCGCGGGTAATGAGCGACAGACTGGAAATTCGGCCGGCCCGAGGCTGCTGGTCCGAAATCGAGGCCGCCAGGAAAATCTGTCCAATTTTCCAGAAATCTGAAAAATTCGGAAAGCACCCTGTCAGTCTCCTCCACTCTACCCCGGGAACGACGTACCCTGGCGAAATTACATTTCCGCGGAATTAAATTAAACGCCATCGTCCGGAGGTCTCTCTTCTTCGGGCACTCCGAAACGCGAAAGATCGTTCTCGGAGATGAATCGCGACGCGGCACTTTCTCTCCTCCGGCTCGAAGGGAGGTAAAAAACGGCCCCATCTCCGCATTCGGGGAATTGGGCTCGAATCCGGGAGCGGACAGGGTGCTTGTTTGCCGGGCGAATTGTCAGACAGTGATAGGTGGCCGGTGGTCAATGCATACGCGTCCTGAAAGAATAAAACTGTCACCGCGCCTGGCGGCTTTACAAGATCGCGGCGATTACATCCGAAAAGCGGTCGCACCCCATTGTTTCCTCCGGCGGAATTAATTCCGCGGCCGCGTTTATCGGGGAATCGGATACTTGCTGATAAACCGTGCCAAAAATTCTCGGGCCCCTCCGCAGTCTCTCGCTGCATCCCGCGGAAACCCTGCAACCCCCTTGGCATTTATTTCGGGTTATCGCCAAAGAAAAATATCCGGGAAAATAAAAATATAACGCCGGGGGAGAGGACATCCGAAGGGCTGGTCGTCGTTAAATGATTTATTATACTTGTGTACACCAGTTGCGTTCAATCAGGGCCTGGCGCGCGTTTATTAGCGTTAACGGCGATGGCGGGTAATGGCGGGCGGACGATCGGGCCGACACCGGCCGTTAAAGCGGGCGAATCCCTTGCTCGAAAGATCCGAATTGGAATATTCGAAAGCCCGTTAATTCTTGCTCCAGGGCCGGGGATATATCCGAGGTTGGAATGGCTGGCTAGGCGAGGCGAGGTGCAGGGCTTGTTTGTCCACTGAATGGTCCGCCGGTGATAGGTGGCTAGCGGTTAATGCAGCGGATCTCGTCCCGCGCGATCCATCCCCCATTTTGCGCGCCGCTCCTCCCGTTCCGCCGCATTTCCATCCCGCTTCCCTCGTCTCCCTCGGGGTGTGCTGGTTTTGCGACCGGCTGCTGCAAAAACACCGCCCCCAAGCCCGGTTTGACGAGTTTCGGACTTAAGCAGCGTGCATTAGCGCTGCTCCTGCTCGGGACGCGCCCGGCGGCCATTTTGGCGAACGCTCTTCCTCCCGGAGAACGCGCTCGAAATTCGACGAACTCTGGACACGCTGCGAGGTCGAGTGGCTCATTTTGGAGACAGTCCCTGGAATTCGCCGATTTTTCGGACACCATCTCGAAAACGCACCCTCGGGGTTCTTCGGGGTATTCAGCCGTTTCTGGATCACGAGGACGAGTTGTCCCCCGAAATCTGGAATGACGCTTCCAGGCCACCGGGACGGTGGTCGGGAGACTCCGGATCGATGATCCATGGTCGAAGGGTGAAAATATCTTCCGTCATTCGGCCATTTTCCCTGCGTGGGGTCTTGTCGAAAAGTCACCCCCAGGTCGCGATCCCTGGGTCAATTAGTGACTTCTCGCGAGCCCGAACCATATTACTCAGCCATTAAGATTCTCCCTGCTCGCTTGATTTCTAAGCTGTAGGGCACGGAGTGTATATTAGGCAGAATCGCCTACAGCGCGATAGGATAGTTAGTCCCCTTGATTTGCATACGCTAACGAGGTTCCGGCGGTGGTGACGATGCCGTGCCCTCGTCTACCATAGTTTACCGTAGTCTACCCTCCGCCCTGTAGCGCAGTCTAGTCCGGACCGGTCTGGTGCATCCATTAATTATACGTTATAGATGCGCCGAGATAATGGAACGCGACAATCGACCCTTTCTTGATTTGTAGACCGAACTTCTCCCTGTGAGCCCCGTCGCCCGTTGACACCCCTTGATGAGGAAAAATTCAACGACCCCGATTCGCGACGTGCCACGAGATCGGGAGATGTGGGATGCTGCTATCCAAATTCTCATCTTGAGCATCCATTTTTACCAAAATTCTCGCACTATTGTCAGTACCTCCTCTGATAGCCTCAAAGCGATATCCAGGTCCAGCTGGCGTCCTCGCGGCCTCCACGAATTAATTATCTCCTCTGGAAATCCCGATTTATCGACCCTTATTGGCCGTGCGATGAATAACCCGACGAAGTCCTGTAAATAATAAATACTCGAAACGATTACATCCTGGCGTGCTTTGCGCTTTATTGACGAAACGCGTGCACCGCAATGCCGGGCACGTATGCGCGCCAAAGCGGACCAGTTTCCATTTTGGTCCCGAATTTTTCCGGATATTCCTTCCCGGGAATCGCGGATGATTAATTCGCCTACCGCGGCCGGGTATTAATGCACATATATGCCGAGTTTTATTTCTCGTGAGAACCTTTTCCCTAGCTTTTATCCTCTGGCAAATGTAGTATATTCGCGGGCGAAACGCTTTGATTTCCGGGATCGCGGATTCCCCGCGAAAATCTTTTTCCAGGAGCGTGGGCCAATTAATTCGGCCCTTTTCGAGGGGAGGATCTCTGGGAAATCTTTCCTGCCAGCTCGACGGAGACAGAGATTAAGAACGAGCGGAAGTTCTATTACTTCTAGTAGCGGCTCGGTCTGCTAATTCACCCCGTTAAGTTTTCCTCGATTTCCCTCCCCCTGAGAACGGGGACTCGCAGACCCGATCAATCCGCCGGTGAATGATCGGCCAATCTTCTTGCATTACCTAAAAATCAATAGCGGACCGTCGAAATTGCTCCGAGCTAATCTGCGGAACAGATAGGAGCGGCGTAATTGTCTATAAATTGAGTTCGTTATGATTAGATGCAGGATTTTCAAGGGGGGGGGGGGATATATCCCAGGGGATTTGTCGGGACTTTTCACCCTTTTTTTGGCCAGCTGTTCGGCGAGAGGGAATTTCACAGTTTTTCGCAATGGAATTCCATTATCGACGTACGTACCGATTTTCGATTTCGATTTGAGGGCTTGTTTAAAGACCCTAACTAGACAGCTTCCAATTATCTTTCTTGTATTTCTACTATTTTTTTTTTTTTCTTCTTCTGTTAGGAAACGCAGGAGTTCTGAGGATGGATTATCAAGTTAGATCCGATGGGAATCAATATTGAATTTTTCGACTTTCAATCGATTTCACTTAGACTCCCGAGGATTTAATCCAGATTTAACTATCCTGTAACGAGCTGCTTATGCTTTGCTGCTTAATCCCCCTCGGCCTCGGGATGAGCTTTGGGGTGAGCTTTAGAACGAGCTTACACTAAATCCGTCCGAATCAGTCAGACCAGGCCAATGTAATCAGGTCAGTCTGGATTAGGGAAGAAGTAACGAAGTTCTCACATGTGTAATTAAATGCCCGGCAGAGGCAAGGCCAGACAATTTCTCGATTCGCGGGAGAAATAGTAAATAAATTCTTTACACCGAGTTATTAAGAGATACATTCACGAAGTACGCTTACGAGGGCGGGGGTTAACTCGATTTCGGGAGTTTGCGTTTTCATTAAAATAATCCCAGTTTTCGAGGCCGGGATTTCGTTGGAGTTGATGAAAGTCAATCTTGGCTCCCGAATCGCGACTTCTTGGCGGTAACTTAGAGCCGAATCGACCCGATCCACTTAAGTTTAACGGATTCCACGCAGAGCAATGGGATTATTTCGGTTTGTTAGAACTCGCTGCCGACTTAACGGAATTGCGGTTTGATCAACTCCGCGCCCCGAGAAATACGCCGGCGAGTTTCGAGTGGCCCTGGTGTAACGAACGGTACGTGCACTGGGATTTACCGCGGGGTATTATTTATGAGCCCGTGTCGGGGGGCATCGCGAAACGCCGCAAGAAAGGAAACCCGGGATATTTGTAACCGCGGGAAACAATTAAGCGAGCAGGGAGGAGGTAACGGATGGTAATGCAACGCGCTATCGAGGAATCGAGACACCTACGTACCCGCCCCCGCCTATTAGCCCCAGCAAAGAGATAAAAATTTCCCCGCGAGTATGAAGAACCTCAAAGAGGGTAAGATAATTTCCACGGCCTGGAAAACCCCCCCCTGGATGAGAAAAAAATATTTCCCAAGAATTTCCGACTACCGCTCCTGATATAAAAATTCCCCGAAAGTGGGCATTACTCTTCCCGAGTGCGAAACGTTGAGCTTTAATTTTTCCCCATTTTTATTCTGCCGAATTATCCGTGAATTATTATTTTGGGTTTATATCGAGGGGTGATTATATGGTAGATTGATGTGTGTTACTAGAAATCGCACCCCAGTTGGTGTACCGATTCATCGAGCAGACCATGCAACCTGGTCCCTCGGTATCCCTGAAGTGCAGCGCAGCGGGCAATCCCCCGCCACAGATTTCTTGGCTGCTAGATGGGTTTCCACTGCCACAGGACGACAGACTGGTCATCGGTCAATATGTCACCGTGTATAGTGACGTGATCTCCCACGTGAACATTTCCACCGTCAGGTCGGAGGATGGAGGCGAGTACGAGTGCATCGCCAGCAGCAAGGCAGGGCAGTCCTCGCATGCAGCAAGGCTTAATATATACGGTGAGACTCTTCACCTTGCCCTGAAGCTGCTTCTGTTTTGACGAAAAATTCGGAAATCCTCGATATCCGCTCCAGGGAGGCCTTTTGTGAGATCCATGCCGCCCATTTCTGCGGTGGAGGGGAAGCAGCTCGTCCTGAAGTGCCCTGTCTCAGGCTACCCGGTAGAATCGATAATCTGGGAGAAGGGTAAGTGATCGATCTTGCGTCCCACCCTTCAGCAATGAACGTGGAAAGTGACGGAGAATAAAAAAAAAATTATTACATATAATATTTTTAATTATTTTTACCCCCTTCATTGGGGCACCTCTACAGTCAAGGTTGCCTCTCGGAAAATCTGCTTTTCACTCGACGCGTACGTTCGCTCTGTTTTTTTTTTTCTCTTTTCTCTCTCATTGAATTAACAACTTCCTGGAGTCCAATACGTAGCGTCAGCGATCGCAGGGCTCGGAATTAATTTCGAAACACCGATGCCAAGGCGAGTCGAAGTTTTCGAAACAACTCGAATAAAAGTTTTAATTGCGCGTCGCCCCTCGCCGCGCCCTCCTTAATGGGACTATAAGTTAATCAACTGACATTATCACGACGGGGCTCAATACCGAATGTATAGGTCTTAAATATTGCCATTGGTTTCCGATCGATCGAGCCCTTCCTGAGGGAATTTTCACGACAGAAATGAAATCCCCACTCGTCGGGTAATCTGCCCCCTCGGTTTATGAAAGCCTCGAGAATCGCAATCGATTATTCGGCTCTTATTATTCCTCTTTGAAGTAATTAACCCGGAAACGCGTGGAGCAATTTTCTGATTAATTTTCTTGGGCGCATGTTCTCTCGTCGGTATTTCAAATGAAAATTAAGGCGCAGTCGAGGGGTCGAAATTTCCATCCCGGGGATTATTATTTGCTCGTCTGGTCGATTTTCCAGATTTTCCCGAAAATAAGGCCGAAGGACTCCGAAACCGGCTATCGTAAAATACTCGGCTGGCGAAGTTACGTCGACCAGTGTATGTGTAAAGCTGATGATGTTTGCATATAATTTCACCCACTCCGTCAAAATGCACGCAGTTCAGCTACCGTACTTTGGGCGAGATTACCGCCCTGAAATAATTGTATCTCTCTCTCTCCTCTGTATATGCGTATGCAACGCTTATTACTCGACGTCCAGAAGTCATCATAATCAAACGGAATTCGACATAGGTATACGTGCATAAAAACCCTCGCCAGGAAAACCTTAAAAAATAAATCTAAATATTTAACAGAGGCATTGTGAAATGGCAAATTAATATACAATATTTTCGTTACTTTCGTGAAAATCGTCCCTTGGTAAAGTCTCCTTCAAATCGCCTCCCCTCTGATCTTGCGAAAGTTTCTCGCGAAAGTAGATTCGAAATTTCGCAGCAAGTTCCGCGTCTTGTCTTCAAGATCCTCTTCTCCTCTGCAGTTTCGAGGGAAGAAAAGGGGAAAAGAATCCCGACAAGGGGGTGGATGATGCCCCGGGAGAAGGAGTTTAGGCAGAAACCTCAAAAGCTTAAAAGTTTCTTTAATAGGCGAGGAAAATGAGAGAAAAGCATTACCGGGCCAGGGATTTAATCTTTTCATGCGTTCTCGACTTGCATCTTACGAGGCCCCTATTTCCCTCCCCTTGAAAGTTAGATGGGGTTCAAACAAATGCAATTTCTCCCCCGTAATTGTGTGAAAAAAAAATTTTTTAATCCCCGATGCGTCACTGTTTTTTTTTCATCCTCGACAAAGATCCTAATTTAAGTTTAGTTAACCAGCGCAACGTTTCATTGCACTGGTTTATCGCGGATATTTCGCATTGCAGATTTGATCTTAAAGAGAATATCTCGAAACGCGATACGGCCAATGGAGGTGCATCGCGCGTATTACCCGGTGCATATATGCGCCTATCACGGGAGAGCGAATACCGCATTTAATCACTGAATGAATATTTGTCGCCCCGCAGATCGAAACGACTTTATTATCCGCCGGAGCATTTAAACATAATCATCCCCCTTTACGCCCGCCCTTTAAATCGTTTGACGTTTACTCTGCGCGCTTAATGAAATTTTAACAAGCGCTGGGGAAATAAAATTTCCGAGCCCGACACATAAAATCGAAAAGGGAAGGGATGTCGAGGAAACGTAGATCTGAATTTTGAGAAACGTGAAAAATAGGGGGATGATTTTTTCGATCAAAATTAAGGGTGACTTTTCAGCCTTTCGCGGTATTTCCAGCTAAGGAGAGGTTCGACACTATTTTCATCGATGTTCTTTTCAAAGAAATCCTGTATTTTTCTCCAGAAGGCAGAAAGCTTCCCACGAACATGCAGCAGAGGGTTGCCAATGGCACCCTCTCCATAGAAACTGTCCAGAAGAATGCTGACCAAGGGTCTTATACTTGCGTCGCAAGAAATAAGCATAACTTCACCTCGCAAGGCACGGTGGACGTCCGAGTGCTCGGTGAGTGTTCCTTGTTTCGTACCTTTCGGAAAGCCATCTCATCTCATGATCACATCGAATTGTTCTCAATTAAATCGGAAGATCGTGAATTTTTAGGGAATTTTTTTGTCCCGGCCTAAGGGAATTTATTTCACCCGCGACGCAATTATTATATTAATGCTTGGGGGTTGCTCTGTACACTTTCTGAGCTGAATTGTTTAATCTCTCCCGGCGTCGCTTAGGTATATATGCGTAGTTTATTATATATATATATACGTCGGTACACGCAGTTTCAAGAACGTAGGGTAAATGCGTCAGCCGGGGGATTACAGCCACGGATTAAGAGTGGAACTTCATTAAAGGTAACTTTATCCCCTGCAGTGGCCCTTCGGTTATTAACTTTCTTCCACAAGGCAGGGAAGTAGTTTACGATCTTCCGATTAATTAAGTAAGGAAAAGTCAAAGCCGCAGGAATAATGTATTAACGTTTAACGAGTAGCTTACCCCTCCCGACCTGCAGGTCGAGTTTCGCGCAATTTCGCGGGGATTACTAAGTACTCCGCAATTAGTGTTAATCTCTCGGTCCGGTATTTTAGAGGCCGAGTTTCCTTAATTTCCCAGAAATTCGGAGGGTCGGGGGAAAGAGAATTTTATCTCGCTTATCGGTCTGGAATAATTCTTTTTCTTTTCTTTTCTTTTTTTCGAAATTCCGCCATTCGGCACGCTCATTTATTGGTCCGTTTCCATCTTATCGGAGTAATGTCCGATAACGAGGATAGAAGATAATTGGTGATAGATGACGGTTTTCAACGGTCCATCGCACAGGGACCTGTTCCGGCATTTGCAAGAGTAATTCTCCATTAAATCGGAGTTTTATGACCGCTTTTATCGCAGGTGTACCGATAAAAATCAGTCCTTTGAGTTATCAATCTCAGTCCTATAGAAGATCTCTCGGCGGTCTTCCGGGATTTCGAAATCATGGTTTGGGCAGGAATAATCGTCCATCGATTAGCCTGGGCGGTCGATACGCTTGCATCGGCGAATCCCTCGGTACATTTCCTCCTCGGGTTACACAGCTATCACGGCAAAGTTTTCTCCGTGTACAATTGAATTCACCGAGGCTGGCAACCCTCCAATGTGGCGGCGGAAAAGTTGAACACGGTCGGGAAATCAAAGGATTCGTCAGAAGCCCAAACACATGCAGCCTCCTTTTCCGGTAATTGTATTTACCCCTTTTACAGGACCCTTCTTTTGACTGCAAAGTGAATTTCAGGCATTCCGGAGTATCCGGCGCATTTCAAATTCATTTCTCAAAATGGACAAACTGGCACTCCTCGCTCTTTTCCGTCCCAGCAGGAAATCCTGCCAGGTCCGACTTGAACAGTTCCCGACGTACAAGATATTAAAAAATTCCAAACTACAGAATCTTATGAATTATATTTTCTCTTCCCGTAACAATGCTCATTTTGCAACTGCACTCGATCCCATTATTCTTGGTCAAAACGCATCACAAAAGTGACGCCGTAACGCGCCCTTTGTGCACGCATGCAGACGTTAACGAGGGCAACATGTCGCGACTTGACGTCGGCCTGGAAAAGCAGAGCCGCAAATGGAAAATCTCTCTGTCTCCAGTTATCGGGGCTCCCGGGTTTCATTATTTCCCCGATCCTCCGGCTGTGAAAACATCAATTTTCGAATGCAAATTGCCGAGTGCGTTCAGCTCGCGCTACGTCAAGTTCCCCCTCAGCCGCGGGCTCGTCTCTTCTGGGATCGAGATGGAACCATCTATTTACCTTTTCGCCACTTTAATCAACACACCACCGTGACGTTCCTTCACTTGGCGCGGTTCGCCTTGAATTTCGCGAATTTTCTCCCTCTCGGAAGGAATAAAATGAAAAGAGCTGGAAATCTGTCCAAGCGAGCATACAAGCAACGAACAGAGGCCGAAGAACGACCGGGGTGCAGCATCCATATTGGGTCCATAGGACCCTTCTACCGTGAAAATCCCGTGAAAAGTGAAATTTCGACACGGAAAAATTTCATCAAAACCCGGCGTTGATTTTTTGGAATAGCGGTTTTTGGAGTATAAAGTAAAATCTAAGATTTCCGTGCCGTCACGAGGTCGGGATTCCTCGAGAACGGCTGAATTCGTTCGTGGGAGGATTTTTTGAGGCATGCCAGGAATTCCTACAGGACGTGGAGGGTACGGACACCTGGAAGACGAGGTGGAAAATCGTTTTTGCAGAGGCCTGTACATCCGGGTACAGGGCGAACGACGTGCACGCGATTGTGTACCTAGAGGCTTGGCCGACTATGCGATGCAAATACGATCAATCGGAAACAGTTATCGCCGGGGTAACGACGGACATGACTCAATTGTATTACACATACCGAGGTGATCGAACTTCGCAAGCGGGCCAATTTTCGCGAGACATACTGCCAAATGCACAGCCCGATCGCAATTGGGTCGCTTCTGGGTCTTGCGCGCCGGAGCGCGCTTTAAACGCGTCCCGGGCAATTCTAGGTGGCTGACGATAATTGACGCGATCGGCAAGTAGGCGGAAAAGTGGTCCAGGATTTGTACTTGAAATAGCCACAAAGTTCACTCCCTTGATCGGCTCCGAACGGGTTGATTTTGGCCCCTGAACTCGGAGCACCGTGGGTTTCGAGACTCCTTTTGGGAACCTTTCGAGACACGGCCATCTATCATTTGGATCGGTCGTGGAGCCGATCGAAATTAAACTTCGGGTCATACGCGAAGGGTGGAAAGTTCCGTCGGAACAGGCGAGGGACTAGAGAGACGTGAAAAATGAAACGAGCCCACGTCGACGAAGGTCGGGGTCGTCGTACGGGGCCGAGTGTTCCGGGACCGAAGACCTCTCCGGGGTCTTGCGAAGTTTCCGCAGAGACGGGAAGCTCTTTTCTGGGCTTTCTCGTTTTGTGCACCCCGTTGTCTCGCGGCCGGAAATATGACCCATGCACAGAGCACAGCAACTTGACGCACCGCTGAAGCACCCCGCCCTGCACGGCTCGCCGATTGCTCTCTCTATGTCCGTGCGACATCGACAGGAGACCGAAATGACGTGTCACGTGTGTACATAACTGCACGCCATCTTTTTCTCAGATAATTTCGGAGCGTGCGGAATTTTTCGGGGAATTTTACGGATTTTCTTTCGATACTATCGGCGACGACTAAACGCCTCCGCTCTTTTCCACAATTGGATCATACCTTGCCTGTCTTCGAGGCATTATAAATTTAATCAACGCATCGAATATAGGTTATTTCCCGATCCCCACGTTCCGGAAGTATCGAAATCACCCGACGCACAACTTCCATCCTTTCTCGACTGGCCGTGAATCCCGATTTCGAAAACTGTCAAATCCCTCTCATCGTCGCGAATACTCTGTTAGCGCTTATGAAATACAGCCTTTGCACCAGCGGTGACCTTTATCCCGTCCCCGTCGAAAATCCACGTACGATTTTGGAAAAGTCGCTAGCTCGAGGGAAATGGGGAGAAAAAATAGGGAAAGGGAATGAAAAAGGTCGCTAAGGGCGTATCGGGAAAATGGCCCTCGAAGTCCATCGCGGTATCGCGCGGCTGCGACATTTAAAAGTCCTCCAGTGCTTTATGATGCTGGGAGACTCGAAGCATCGGAAAAAGCTGGATAAGCGAAGATATGCGATTGGCTGGTAGAGAAATGTGCCTCGCCATGTTCTTTCGGATGGCTAACCGGATTCGTTACGTTCCCCAGGTCGGAATTCCGTGGAGTAAAATTATCCCGTCCTTTCCCTTCAACCTCGGTAATTTAAAATGAAATAAAAAGCCGGCGTGACATCGATGGCCATTTTCAATTGCCGTTTTTCCCGGTCTAATAATGGACATTTATTGGCGAAAGTTGTTAGCCAACGCGTGACTAAATCGGGTCGGCACTTTTGCGGAATTGGTCCAACGTGGCGCAGCATCCGGACCCTCCCTCGAGGAGACATCTCATATTCCGAAAATAATCCCGATGTGTCCCATTATTCATTCATGTTTAATAAAGGAGTAGACGGGACAATGAGTTAGACTTGGATGGCGTAAATTCACATTCGGCCGTACGTACGCGGATTTCCGACGGGTACATTTTTCAGCACCTCTACCGGCGAAGTACCATTGCAAATCACTTTTTCGATATTGTGTCTTCACTACTTTCCGATTCTACTGTCTACATATACGCCGACGATGCGAAGCCCTGAACATTCTCTACAACCGAGCGCAACAAATGCCGATAACAAAAACGTCGTCGGCTTGTTCAGAGGTAAATGCCTGGCTATGATAATAATTGGCCCCGTTAAAGAGGTATATTAATATCATCTAATACATTAATATACAGGGTGTCGTTTAATATCCGTTAGTCCTCACTTAACTCGCCCGGCTGGTAATTGCGGTTTGCTCGCGGTCTTGAAGAAGCTGTCTTCAGCAATGGCGCAATTTCCTGCCCGCGGTAACCACTTATACATATCTGGTCGCAGCCAACCACGTTGTCATGGTCGTTATTATTACACGGGGCAGTAGTTCCCTCATTACCAGCCACCGCAATCCCGCCACCGGTATGTGCGATTTCAATGTACGCATCCGAATGGTGCATTATGTGCAATAGAATGTTCACACATCACGGAGTATAATAGCAGCGACGGGCGATATTATTATGGCAGCGACCGCGAGTTGGCGAACGACGTTTCCAAATTCTCCGGTAATTCGGCAGGAATCGATAACCCGATCGAATTCGCGAGCACCCATTTTTCATCTATTAAACACCATCTGATAAACCATTCCCACGGAAGAGATTTTAATTTCTGAATAAATTTACTAAGTTTCCTATAACATCGCGAGTTGTCTTCAGGGACCTCTTCATGGACGTCTAGGTCCTACGACTCTTCGCGTACAGTTTTATTTTTCGGCACTGTGGGGTGGTGAGGACCAGGAAGTTACGTTTCCTCCTTCCGGTACCAGGGTTATCAGAGTCGTTTATCGTCCGCCTATATTTAATCGGAGCAATCTGAAGCAGGTTGATTAAGAAACACGGGCAGAGTATCGGCATAGGTGCGCTCGGCAGGGCAGCGCTTCACGGCGCCCCCGCCAAGATGTGTGGAGAACCGCTTTGATGGAATGCAACCCGTTCTCTATTCTGATTTTCAGTGCCACCTAAAATCACGCCTTTCAGTTTTGCTCGCGATTTAAACGTAGGGGACCGTACTAGCGTACAGTGCGTTGTCGTGACGGGCGACCTGCCGCTCACGTTCACGTGGCTCAAAGATAACGTGCCGATAGTGGCCCCGACGGATCCGTCCCTGGACTCGAAACAGGGTCCGAGGCAGGGCCGAAGGCAGGGCCCGAGGCCTCGGGAGGAATCCTTCAGAAAGGCGATCACCGTCCGCCAGTATGACGCTTTTAACAGCGCCCTGAGCATCGGCATAATCGCCCCCGCGCACAATGGCACTTACACCTGTCGGGTGGCCAATGGCGCCGCCACCGTCGCACACTCTGCACTCCTCCACGTCAACGGTAACGAACCGTTGGTGTTTCTCGGAGCACCAACCCGACCGGCTCGTCCGATCGCCGATCCCGGAGCTCCCCTCCGGAGCGAGCGAAACCGCCCAGGGACTTGCTGGTCGCGCGGCGGTTTTCGGTTGGTCGAGATCGACCCTGAACCCCAGGTCGCAAAGAGCGAAGGGAAAGCACCTTCCCCAAGGTCTCCTTATCGAGTTGGGTCGGTACTTCAACGGGAAAATGGGATCGATCGGGGGAAAATGCGTTCCAGCGCCTGGGTCCCAAAAAGTGCTGATGGGACCGAGTTGGGTAGCTTCGTTCGGGGTTTTGGGGTGGCTGTCGGATCGCCAATGTTCCGGATTTCAGCGTGTGGTTTCTCGGCCCAATTCCCCGTAGGAAGATCAGGGTTGGAGCCGGATTCGCCCAAAACTCTGGTCGTGGGGACCCGCGAACCGAAACGCCGCGCGACTGGGGGTCCTCGGGCTTCGCTCGGTCCAGGTCCGATCTAGCAATGGGATCGCTGACCTCACCTTCTATGCTACCGTTACTCTATGATGCACGCACTTTATGGGCCACCGCGTCGTACGTGCGACGCACCTGATGGTTTCCTGCGAACCCCGATGCGTAACGCGCGACCCGGCCATAACACACGAGGCATAACCGCGAGTCCAGATGAAGCCGAGTCCAGATGACGAGGCGCGTCTTCGTCGCACCTACGGCGCGGCCACTTTTCTCTCCGACTGCCTGACTTCTACTACTTGTTGAGATGTCCTGCACGCTTTTTTTCTCTCTGCACGCCATTGCACGCTTCGACCAGGTTTAACGAGAGATACCATCTACCTATTCTTACTCTCGCATTCTTATTACATCTCTATATTGTTGACGTTGATATTGCGCCGGTTGTTCCCTTGACCGCGCTGGGTGGACGGCTGGTTTCGGCATCAGGACGTGGAAGAGGATACCGACGATGGGCCAGGACCCAAACGATGCGGAAGGACGACGTCCTTCGCGCCTTGTGGACCCTTCTCGCCAATCCTGGCGCGATGGGCTCGGATTTCGGCTTCGTCTTCGGGGTCCAACCCGCGACTCGTCTCGTTTTCTGAACCCGGTGCCGAAGTCGGTCGCACGCGATCCGTCGATGGTTGGAGAACACGCAGGCTCGACGTCCCAGGACGAGATTAAGGAGTCGCGATGGGGCCTTCCTCGGGCAAACGGCTCCTCGTCTCGGAAATCTGGAGGAGAATTTCCGAACGGGGATCCCGCGAATCGGGGCGCTGACCTCGCATTTTGGGAACACCCTCGAGTACCCACTGTACTCGGTTGAATTCTCGTCACGAATGTCCGATGGAATCTCGTACACGAGAGTCCTCTCGAGTACCGTCCGTACCGACCGCGAGTCCTCGCCAAGGACACGTACGCTCCTCGGAGTGCATTTCGCATTTATTTTTGGAGAACGTTTACCGTGGGATGGATTCCGTAATTCGTTGGTACCAGCACACTTTACGTATGCGAGCATCCGATCATGGCCACCTCCGTAGGAGTTTTCGTAATACGAATGAACAGTTACTATACGTTATTGTAATGTGTTGCATTACGTTTGGACTGACTCCATATATATACATATACATATATAAGATATATATTCATATTGTCTCTTTAGACGGATTTATATCGGAGTGATGCACTTGATTTGAGGTTCATGTGCCCACTTTGTGTTCTGTATTTATTGTGGGATGTGCCATAGTAGATATGACGTGTCGACGCGGAGGAGACTCGAGCGATGTCAAGGAGTGGTCCTTTTCAGGGCCCCGGGATCTCGGGGGTCGGTCCTGGAAGGTGATCCTTTGGAACGCTCAATTTCGAATTCAACTCCTAGGGGAACTAGTTCCATGGGGTGCGGTCTTCAGAGTCGGAGCCAAAACCCCTTGATCGTTGTTCCATCGTCTCCGTTTCCGGAAGCCTTGGTCGAATCCCTCGGTGGGTCTCATCCATCGCCTTCTCATCCGTCCTGGCTCTTCCCTCCCATTTTTATTCTCCTCCCGGTTGCATCGTTCGCCCCGGGCCAGGAACCACCTCCGAGAGACCGACGTCCAGGCACGTCCGGAGATCCCTCGAGTCCGACGTCCAGATTTTGGTAGTCTGCTCATTGCCTCTTACGGTCGTAGCAAGCCCCCAAACGTGGCGGGCGGTAGTTCCCTTGCCGTGTTCCTTTCGGTAAGTAATGCCACCCCAAAGGAGTAGAAACGCGAAAGCATTGCGAATCTCTCGCAGCTGGGACGTGGCCGACTTAATATACGATTAGTAGGCCTCCAAACGGCTCTTCGGGATCGATTGGTCTGGTGTAGTTGGTACAACTCCGTAACTACCCCGTTGTAGTTCCGCCTCGGATCTCGCCGTTTAATTTCGAGGAAGGAGTGACGGAAGGGACGAGGACACAGCTTATGTGTTCCGCCGGCCAAGGAGATCAGCCCTTCAACATCACCTGGCTGATGAACGGCAGGAGCCTCCCGGCGAGAGACGCTGCCGACAAGTCCGAGAGGGCTGGACTCGCTGATAACAGCATTCAGATAAGCGCCTTTACGCCATTTTCCAGCATCATGACGATTAATAACGTCTCGGCGAGGCATAACGGCAACTACACGTGCCGCATCAGCAACGTCGCCGGTGTAGCTGAACACTCGACCAGTCTCTCCGTAGTTGGTGTGTGTCACCAAATTGTCGCGCTTGGTCGCGACTCGTTAAGTATAAAACTCTAATCACGCGGATTAGCGCTATGCCCGACTGCTGGAGGAGGATCCAGGTGTTTTGGAAAAGTTCTCGATGGGGAGGAACTCCACTCATTTCCCTGGCTAACTTTAGGGACGAGGACTTTTACTCCCGGCTTGGGAGAGGACTTCTTCAGAGTGACTCGTTCGAAATGTCTCTATAAAAAGACATTTTTTTTACCGTTTCAAAGCGTTTAGCGTCAAAGGCTAGTCGACGAATTTAGACCTTTCAAACGAGGTCAGTATTTCGGATGAGCCGTACTCCACATTAACTTGTGCTGTATCTGGGATCCTCGGTCCTTACTGTAAAATGACATCGGTCACAGATTTTTAAGCGTTTATAGAAATGACGTTTAAAATTCGGAATTTTTTCCTTAATGGGAATTTTTTCATGTCGATGCAGACTGGACACTTTGATCCTCTTCCTCAGGTATTGATACTCCCCCCCATCTGCAGGAAGATTCTTCGATACTAAGACGTTTGGTAAGCAACGCGCGACACACGACAGCCGAAAAGGGTGTACACTTTGGCGAGGCAAAATTATCTGGAATATGTGAAAATCGGTTTTAACTTCTGGTCAGAACATTCATGCATGCACACTTTCGAGGTGGAGGAGAAGAAACGTATCCCTCGTTTCCCTGATTTTGAATAGCTAACGAGTCATAGCTCCAGTAGGTCAGCCTACACTTGCAAAGGGATTTAAACTTTTCTGTAGGAGGCAATGAAAGGAGTTTGCAATTAGCATAAGTACCACGTTATACCTTATACGATACATTAATGTGCCTCTTGTTTTGCAATGATTACCATAACCTGGTGTGAAGCATGAGTTCATGGATTTATACATTTGATAGAACGTCCGGTGCAACGTAGGCCGAGGATGGACGGAGGAAATAAAAAAAGCACTACAATCCTTCCAGAATGTCGTTTTTTATTCCTTTCCGCGTCATTAGAATTTTCCTTCTTGGTCCGGGACTTTCGGTATAATAGACTCGATGTTTCTGAATGTTTATGCAAGGCCGGCATGAATAAAATTCCCGAACTACGGATCGTCCAATCGGAATCCAATTTAGCGGGCATATTGCATTCCGCGACGGATTTCTACTGCCGTTTCGAAATGTACAGATCGGAAATATTCACCGAATCGTTCAAAACATCCCTGACACACGAGCTGTCGGTCCTGCTTGACATGTATCACTTTTTTCGAGCAGCCGCGATTAGCGCTATTCGGTATCCTGCACGCATCAAAGAGCAATGTTTACCCCCTTTTCAAATTTCCCGCTCCGGGGAAGAATCGCTATCTCGGTTGCACTTTTCCAGGACATCCTCGGCCCACGTCAGTCGAAGGTAGCATTTCGATTCGTAAACTTGTTTTCGCTGTTTCCCTTCATAGCTAAGTTCTAGTAGGTTTAGCAGCGTTAATGCTTTCATCGATAATCGGCGATTTAGCGGGAAATCAAAGTTCATCTCGCTTTATAGGTGCATCTTGTTTGCACCGCGTCAACCTCACGGCTATTGGTCACTATCAATGAAATCGTATTCGCAAACGTCCAAAATTCCGCATTTTCGGATGGCGATGTGTGTACGATGGTAATCCCGGTTTTCAATTATTTTCGCCGTACTCGAATTGCGAGGCACAATTACAGGACGCTCTTTAAATTCTACAAGTTGCGGAGAGGATTTTCTGAGACGAGGGAATAAATAAACGGAAAGGGAGGGAATCTTTTGGAGTAAGCTGTTAAGGATCTCTGCAGCCAAGGGGAGGATCTATTAAGGATCTCTCTAGTCCGGCAAAAGAGGACCGAGACTTATTTCAGGAAGTGCCCGGAGAAACAATTCCTCCTTACCAAACTCGGATAGCTTCTCGACGGTGAAATCGTATTTTGGGAAAGGGAATTGGAAGTGAAAAAGTTTTATCCTCTTCCGTCCCTGATTTAAGGTGAAAGCATTAACGATTAAGAGTGTATGTAAGTATACAAGTCAGACGGACCGATGCTGCATGCGAGTCCTGATTAAATTAATTAACATTTACGCATATGCGATAGCGAATTAGATTTGGATTCTCAGAGTTAGTTACTTAAGACTTTCCGTCGAAGGAAATTCGGAAGGAAATTCTGCGCCGTTTTTCAATTGCATATAAAAATTCCAATGCAAAAACCAAACACTCCTTTGCTCGATTTTTACTCACACTTAATTATATTTCATCGTGATTCTCATTATTGGTGCTCAGAATTTCCAAAAATCCGCTACGCATTGCAACACGGAGAAATATTTCGTGCAAACACAACAAGAGCGTAACATGATCTCGACGGTAATTATGATACAGTACTTCCAACTTTCGGCGTAATAATCGCGTAAGGAGTTTTCGTTAAAACTTTCGCGCATTTCCCGTGCTCCCGTGTTACAATGCAGGTATGAGCAACTGAAAGAAATACATTAACAATAAATATCTCCCCGCTGCGGAATTATTTGATAACAGGAGAGCGAAGGACGGACTATTCCCCGATTTCGCTCTGCCAAGTGGTGAATTTTTCGTGGGCAATCGATGGCTCGTTCGATGTCCTTGCCGGCACGCCTTCGCTTCCAAAACTATTCTGCAGTGGCTGGGATTAAATGGAACAGGATAATAGCCCGCGGAATAAGATTTTGATCAATTTAATCGCACTTTTAGTACCTCCGCGGTGGACGGTGGAACCTATCGACCAGGACGCCACAGTAGGTCACGGTGTCTCCATAGCCTGTCAGGCCGAAGGATTCCCGGTTCCAACAGTGAGTTGGAAGCAGTCAGTGGGTAAGAGGATTTTTCTTAAATAATTCCAGGTTAAAGATAACGATAAAAGAGAGCCACCCAGAAAGAAAGATCCACCGCGAGCGGCGAAGAGGACGCCGCGAAAATGTCAAAGAGCACCCGACACTTATGGCGGACACAAAATACGCCCGAACCGAACTCATACCATCTCGCAACGACATAACAGAAGGATTAGAAGTTTACGATACTCTGGCGAGCATTAGAAGGACTCGGTTTACAGCCGGCGGAAATATACGTCCCGTCGTAACTCGAGGCCAAAACCGCAGTTAAGTCCCCGAATGTGCAGTCGGTTACAGGTTCTTCCGAAGGCACGAAGAAGGAAGTTAAACCGCGTTTGTAAATTCGCCTTCCGAGAATAAGTGTCCTGGCAACGTGGAAATGTGGAACCCCCGCGGAGATAGGCACCGACGTCGATAGGTCCCCTTCGCCGCTTCGCGTTCCGTCGCGGAAACGATTCCGAAGAGGGGCTCCTTCGCCGAATCGGCGTCCCCATTCGCTATGCATTCGCGTGACGGTTCCTTGGAATATTCAGGGGAAGCTCCAGGTGACTACAGAGAGCTAGGCTACGGCGGGTCGGAAGGTGCCAGAGTCGCCGGAAATGGGTCCCTGGTGATCCCACGGGTATCCCGGGAGCACGGAGGGCTGTACCTGTGTCAAGCGAGCAACGGCAACGGCCCCGGTCTCAGCAAACTCATTCGGCTAACAGTCCACGGTAAAATATTCACCCGGCCGCCGGTAGGCCGCCTAAAAGATGTGTAAAATATCCAGGGGAGCAGCGCCGGCTCGGCTGAAATATGGACGAGGAAACGGAGAGGCCGAATCGCGCAATAGTCGAAAATCAACGGACTGCAGTGGCCCGTTTAAGATTTACACCCTCCCAAATTAGGTTAATTCCCCGGCCCAGAGGGGAGACCCGAGGGTGGCCCCGAAGAGGCACTTGTTGAGGAAAAGGGCGATGGCTTTTAGTGCTAATTAGTTCTTACTACGATGGACCCTGGAAATAGACCGCTGGTTGGCTCTTCGGGGTCGTCTTCGGGGATGAAAAATTGGGAGCGACCAGTTCTTTCGACATAGTATCATCCTTTTATCTTTTTGCACGTAGGGGTATCGACTCAAAATCCGAGTGTAATGAGAAAATCCGGCATGCCGATACGTCAGCTTCACGATAATCGAACATGTGGATACCCGAGCGAGACAAAAGTCGGACACGCGAGGACGCCAGTGAGACAAAGAGGCCGTATAATTCTACGTACAATGCAGTTGCATTGCATGTAGTATAATGCGGTTCGGGATAGAACTCTGGAATTTCCCCCTTGGATATTTTCCACCGGTCGTTGTTCCTCTATATTTAGACGTTTTCGTTTTCTCGACAGTCGGCCCTCGAGTTACGGTCAGACCGAGCCACGAATCCGTGAGGCAAGGCCAATCCGTGACTCTCCGATGCGAGGTCGAAGGGGATGCAACCCTCGACGTGAGATGGCGAGCTCGAGGCAGCCTTATTGGTCCCACTTCTGACATGAGGTTTGTACCCGATCCCTTCGCCGGAGATCCCGACGCGTTCTTCCAGGTCCTATGTGCCGGGGTACCTAGGAATCCCGCTGGTACATAATACGCGAGCCCAGCAGTGGATCCCCAAAAGTTTGGCCATTTCTCCCCGCGCGCCCTGCAAGACGGATTCCAGAACCAGAGTTCCGCCGATTGTCCAGACCGTTATGAACTTCCCGAAGGAAACTTCCCCAGCGGTACTTACCGATATTAAATGTCGCAAAAACGGCACGATCTTGGATCAGCTCAGACCTTCTAACAGGAAACCCGGAACAAGACGTGGATCCTCCCCTGCGGTTGATTTAGCCATAACAGGTCGAAAAGGTCTTGAAACCTCGTGTTCCCTTATTTCCCTTCTTTTTCCCTAGAACAACAAACTCCTCGACGTGGATTTCCCGGAGGACGGTTTCCAACGTGGATTAAACGCCCACGACACGACAGGGGGCAGGCTTGGTGGATTTCGCATAACTTGTAAATTACGATTGCCCTCGAGACACTTGAGCGAGGGTCCCGGAAGCTCGGGTTCTCGAAATACAAATTATTAATTTCAGGGCTGCAGCGAACTCCCATCAGCCCTCTCCCAATCCCTCTCGTGCATAATGGAATCCAGGGCTATTTCGCGGCGGTCCAGGGGCGATCTCACGGGGAGGGAGAAATCTGACCATCATCCCCCTGATCTACCGAAACGACGTTCGCGGGATCATCGAGGAGTTTTACGGGCCCATATCTGGGAAGTCCTGGGCAAACACGTGTTCCCGGGGTCCCTATGGTGGAGGACACCCCCGTGTCGCGGATAATGAACACGAGCCACTCTTTGATGTAGGTACACGCTGAACAATTCTCCATTACCTCGCGGCATCCTGTCGGAGTTGCGAATCACGAAGGCCGAGCATACCGACCGGGGCGTGTACACGTGCATGGCCACGAACACGTACGGCCATGACAACGCCAGCATCCATCTGCTGGTCCAGGAACCACCGAATTTCCCGCGGAACCTACGTGTCGCCGAGCAGGGGAGCCGTTCGATACTTCTGGCCTGGTCCTCGCCTTTGGGGGACTCCGACCCCGCGCACTCCGACTCGCCGATTACGAAATACGTCGTTCAGTACAAAGAAGCCCAAGGTAGGTTCATCCAAAGGAATTCCTCCTTTGAAGGCTCCTCGGGTTTGCTTGCAGGCCGACCCCGGCGAATTTGTCCGGGGATTATTCCAGGGAGGGTCGGGGCTCCGTTCGATGACTCTTGACCCCGGTGGGAATCTCGCGTTTCGAGCGATCAAGGTTATTCCTCCGCCAGGAACCGGGTCCTCTTCCTTTTCGAGAATTACGATACCCCCCGCGAGGACCAAACTCGACTTCAGTAGTGACCCATCACTCGCTCATTACATTCAGGCACGATCCGCTGCGAACCCCTCTCGAAATACGTACCTCGAAATTTCGGGGATTTCATTCGGGTGGTCGCGACCCCTTGATGAGCGCTTTGCGACCCAATAAACACAAAGTGGTGGGAATACCCGTTGAGGAATGGGATAAAACCATTCACTTTAATCGCATAATTGACTTTATTGCAAGAAACGTGTTCCACCAGTTCCACTATCCGTCCTTTCCGGGACAAATTCAACATAACGTCTATTCTACGTTTATTACACCACCGTTTCAGTCCTCTACCATGAACGTCGTTTAAATATAAACTGAAGGTAAAATAATCGTTAAAAATACTAAACGCTGAAATAACGTTAAATCATTACGTTGAGGTACGAGAGATAGGAAAACATGAAAACACACAGTGTAAATTCAACGTCTCTTGTAAATGTGTATTTAACGAAGAGGGGAAGCGTTTAATTTGTACACCTACCGCCCTATATCCGTACCAGTTTTGCTCCCATGGAACGTGAATTCCCCTACTTTGCGTTTATTGGGGAGCATAGCAGGAGCCGAAAACCGGCGCTCGTTAATCCACCATTCTAAGCATGTCTTGTATCCACTAAAAGATGTGTGGCATGAACACAACGCGCAGCAGCCGGTCGCAGGAAACAACACGGTCGCTCTGGTTTCCCAGCTGAAACCGGCGACGACCTACCACTTCCGAGTGTTCGCGGAAAATCACCTTGGAACCTCGGCGCCAAGCGACATCCTTCATGTCAGTATCAATCGACGAAATCACTCACGAGCCATCGTTCCCGAGGTTGGCGAGAGTCATTGGCTCGATTAACCCGGCCCTTAATGAAATCTAGGCGCAGACCGACGGGGAGGTTCCCGGAGGCCCTCCGAGGCAGGTCGCCATCGAGGCGGTGGGTCCACAGCAGCTCAAGATAACTTGGCAGCCTCCCGATCGATCCCTCTGGAACGGAGAGCTTCTCGGATACACCATAAGCTATCGGAATTTAGGGTATCTATCGATTATCTTTATGATACCGTGCCCGCAAGCAGGGGTATCCTGGAGTGGGCGAATTATAATTGCCGGCTCGGTAATCCGGATCCCTAAGGCCCGACCGACGCTCCTGCTCGCGAGGACGACTCCTCCCGAAATCGCGTTACCCTCAGGTGGAAACCCATGGAAAATTGCTGGGCGATTTGTCGCACCTTCGGTTGGCTCCGTTTCGTCGCTGGGAACGGGTGGCTGAATTATTTCAGGGTCTGAGCCTCTGCGAGACTCGCCGGCTCCTCCTGGGTCCCCTTACTAATGGCGGCAGAGAGAGAGACAGGGGATTTGTAAATAATTACACCCATTTATAAATGAATTACTGGAGTCTCTGATTTGCTATCAGGTATCCACCTGGGGTGGGCGGTCTCCTAGGGGAACTTACGAGGGTCGAGCCTCCCCCGTTAAGGCTGTTAAGGTTGTTAAGGTCCTTAAGGCTGTTAAGGCCGTTTAGGCTGGCGAGGCTCTGGATCTGTTATTGATTACACGTCGGCTCGGTTTCTTCGCAATGTTCGACGGAATCGAGTTCCATTAACTATTAAAGTCATCGCGGATGGGATGGACGGTCGATCGGTTCCCCAATTTGTAACAGTGGTGCCTGCCCGTTTTTGTCCTAGGAGCAACGACCAGTCGGTGAATACCACACGAATAGGCATTACCGGCAACGGCGACGGCTCGTACGATTACAGGCTGACGGGTCTGCAGAAATACACCCAATACAGCATAGTGGTGAAAGCATTCAACAACAAGGGCGAGGGACCAAGCTCTGATCCCGTCACTGCCCAGACTCTCGAGGATGGTACGTAATTCCCATCGACGGGGGCAGCTCTGCTCCATTTTTTGGGAAGCTCCTCAAATATTGCTCGTCCCTCCACCTTCCATGCCTCCAACGAATTTGGTTCCGCCAAATTCTCCAGCTCTCGACCCCTGACTTCTATTCGATGGTGAAGAAGGATCCTACAGGCAGATTCTTCCACCCTGAAATTCTGGGTCCGATCGTCGATCCCTTACCTTGTCACGGTTGAAGATGACATTTTGAGCTTGTCTTGTGTTCCCAGTCCCCAGTGCCCCGCCGCAGAACATCGCCTGCACCCCCCTGAGTGGTCAAAGCATCCAAGTGACCTGGAAGCCGCCACCACCTGACAAGGTCCATGGCGAGATCAGGGGGTACAAGGTGCTCTACGAGGCAGCGAATGGCGCGGCATTCGAACTCCAGGGTTCCGGGGAGACCAGGACCACCCACGCCCTGAACACCGTCCTGCAAAGGCTGAGTCCCTACACCAACTACACCGTCCAGGTGTTGGCTTACACCAGGGCCGGCGAGGGGGTCACCAGTAATCCCGTGACCTGCACCACCAAGGAGACGGGTGAGCGAGCAAACGCATCGGAGGTGTTGCAACCCCATGGTTGGCGTACAAGGGAACCCTCGTCCAATTCCCGATAAGACCCCATTGACGATGAATTCCCCGTCTAATCTCCTCATACCTGAAATATCACTCCTGGAGGCGCATTCGTCCCGTGAATGTCGCATAATTTGAGGTTCCCAGGGTGGTCCCTTTGAGTGCTGGTCTGCCGTTTCAGTGCCAGACGCCCCGGAACGGGTCAAAGCCGTGGCAAGCGCCGAAGACACCGTCGTAATATCTTGGCTCCCTCCGAGGAGACCAAACGGCGTCCTCACCAACTATACGGTCTACATCCGGGTGCTGGATCAGGGCCAGGAAGTGAAGATCATTAAAGGGTACTCCCTCGCCCAGGATTTGCACTACGAGGCCACGGGGCTCAAGCTGATGGAGTCCTATGAAGCCTGGGTCGCTGCCTCCACGAAGGAGGGCCAGGGCCCCAGCACCCCCGTCATCAAGCTACAACCCACCACCTCTAGTACGCAGGATTTACATTAATCTAACTTCCAATGAATCGTAGAAATACAACGTCGACCTCTCGCGAAACCCTCGGCTCGCAGACGTAATTTCCCGATTTCCATCCCGAGACGAAGGAACCCCTTTCAAACTCCCGAGTCGCTCCATCGGGGACCTAAATTCTGAATTCGTGACGTGGACTTAAAGTCCGCATTTAAACCCGGGGGAATTAAAACCCGGGGACAATAACTCCCGGCGTCTGCTGGCGGACCTAATTCTGAGCGAATGTTGCAATTAGTTGCAGCCGCCATCATTTCATTCGGCGTGCCGCTCGTGGTGTCCTGGCGGGTCGACGTCCATCTCGCCTGTCTTTTTGTCGGCAAGCCAAGACCCATTGCGGAGTGGCGACTCGGGGAAACGAAATTGGAGAAACAACAGAGGTAAGCCGGCATCGGGTAACGGCGGAAAAGTTACGACCGCCTCGATACGCCTAAAGAAAATTTCCCCGTGAACGAGGGGGAAAATCTCGTAACGACGCGTTCCCTTATTATCCCTTTTTGAGAGGGAACGTTACACTTTTACGCTCCATGAGGAAGTTACGTCTTACGTAAAGGCGTAACAGCAGGTGAACACGAGGAACCGGGAAATTACACGGGAAGACTGCCGCTCCTTAAGAGTCTCGTTACCCATTGTTTAAAAAGGAGCAATTAACCCTTTTCCCTACTTTTCAATTTCCCCTTCCCGGTAATTCAAAGGAGCCGGAGATGGCGGTTCTCCACTTTTCCTTTTCCATTCGCTCGTGGGAATTAAATGGGGATGTTTACTCCAATTATTTCCATTGAGGCTGCCAAGTGGTAAAATGGACACGCAGTACTCAGGGCAGGAATGACGCAGAGACCTGGCGTATATTTCCCGAGATTATCCATTGCGATCGAGGCAGTATGTTACGCTTAACTGGCAGGGAGAATTACCGGGGCAGTACTATAATGGAACCTAACTGATAGCCAACAACCGGTGGGTAGAGTTTCTGCCACCTCGCTATGAACTGGCCGAATGTTGCAGGCTGGATATCACCCCTGATAACACGCTGATTCTACGGAACGTCCAGAGAAGCCACGAGGGCAATTACTCCTGTCACGTGAGAAACCCTCTGGGCACCGACGAGATCGTCCACGCCTTGAAGGTCCAAGGTAAGCTCCTTTCTTCCCGACAAGACGTCGATCGTCCTTCATCTCGGTTTCTTTTATTTATTATATTTTTCCTCCCTTTCGTACAAAATCCTACCGTCGAAATTCTCGCCGGCTCGGAGGATATCGACGTTATCGGGGAAACTCAAGGGAGGTCGAAAAGGAGGAGTCGGAGCGAGAGTCGAAGTTGCACGTCCTCGGATCCTGCAGGATCTTGCGCCGAGAAGCGGCGGTTCTCGCTCCTCGTCCGTTCTCGGCCTCGGACTCGGCAGGGAGTTTTAATTGGTAAACTTTATACATAGTTCCACCAACACCGCCGACTCTTCTGGCTACCGGCACCACGACGGACGCAGTTCAGCTACAATGGAAACAGGGGGATAACGGAGGCGCTCCCATTAAAGGATTTCTATTGGCTTATCGGATAGAATTTGCAGAATGGGAAGAGGTCATGCTAGATCGAAGGGCGAGCACCCACGTGCTGGAGGGCCTTCAGTGCGGGACGAGATACCAATTCACTTTGGCGGCTTTCAATCGAATTGGGAGCGGAAGCGCCAGCAAAATTGAAACTGCCAAGACGAAAGGCTCGAAGCCTGTGCCCCCCGCGAAGCAGCATCTGATCAGAGCCAACCTAACTTCCGTCATTCTAGACCTGCCCTCCTGGCAGGATGGAGGGTGCCCGCTGCTCTACTTCGTCGTCGAGTACAGGAGGCTGCCCGGTGATTGGCTCCTAGGTAAACACCAGGAACTTTGGCTTGACTTTGTTCTTGCTCGAGGAAAGAGGCGGCTCGTGAATTTCGACGAGCCGGGCTCGCACGGGAACCGAATTATCGACTCGACGTGGCGCCTTTTTAATCGACTCGTATCGTCGAGCCCATCCGATGGAATCGCGACTTGAGAACCTGGAACTGTTTTCAGTCTCCAACAACGTGCCGCCTCAGTCGAGATTTCCGATAGTCGACCTAGAGAGCGGTGCCAGCTACGAGCTCAGGGTGACGGCGTACAATAACGCTGGCTCGACTCAGGCCGAGTACTTGTTCAGCACTCTGAGTCCCAATGGCGCAACGAGGACCCGCGAAGGTCCTCACCAGGAGGTCGAAGACACTCCGTTGTATCTGGACGCACAAGTCTTGGCTCCCAGCGTGATCTCGGTGCTGGCCGTCCTCCTGGCCATTGCTGGAGTGTGCTTCTGTCTCAGAACGCGTAAGTGACCGGACGTTCCTTGGTGAAACGACAGAGGTTCTATGGTTTGGTCCAGAGCTTCGGTTGTTTGGCGTCTTCGGGGTCGTTGAAGAGCGATTTTCACGGTGATTTCCTTTCCAGATCCCGACAGACCAGGGTGCGCGAATGACCCTAATTCGCAAACCCAGGCCGCCTTGGACAACAAGCACAACATGGAGCAAAGAGAACAGTATTACGCGACAGTAAGAAAGCCCGGGCAGCAATCACCCTGCCGAGAGGTGAGCGCGTTGGAACGCATTCCCGAATATTCCGAAGATATTTATCCATACGCCACCTTCCATCTGCCCGAGCAGGAAAACCTGTCTGCGAACCCCATCCGACAGGCTTTCTTCTACGAGAGGAACGAGACGATGCTCCAGGGAGCTCAGGTATGCATTCCGCGTAACAACCCCGATCATCGATTTGCTATGGAAAGGATTCGCCTTTATGGACCCGGGCTCAATGAAACGCTTCTTTACGACGGCACGAGATGTTCCTCCACGTCGTTTCCTTCTGGCTGTCTCGTTGTTTTACGACAAACATCCCGCGGACTTATTAGATCTTAAAGAAGTGTCCCCGGCACGATTTTCAGCCCGACGTAAAGACGGAAGGGTTGCCGTTTCCTAGATTCTCGGACCAAGCCTCAATAAGAGACGCGACTTCTTTCCGACTCGTAAAGGGCCACGTTTTCTCATTTCTCTATCCTCTGAGAAGCAACGTGATCATCCCTTGTCCAAAAATTTGTTGAACTTCTGTCCCTTCTTCGTTCGAAGGCAAGGGCCAATTGTCTCGTACCATTGTCTTCGTCCCATCTAAGTGTTTCTTCTACTCATTTATGTACCTTACAAGGATCTTGTTTAATTCTGCTTGAAGAGAGGAATGTCTGGAACTGCCAACTGATCTCTACACGTGGGGCGCAATGTTCTGGACCAACTTATTTCACCTTTTCGTAAAATTGCAGTGCGACGTGGACCAGTACACGAAAGTGCGCGGCAGGGCGCGGCGTAAGTCCAAGTCCTTCAAGTCCGAGTCGGAGGAGTACGACACCCTGGGGTCGGATAGCGACACAGAGGTGGGGACGAGTAGCAGAACGGAGTCGTCGAACCATTTGGACGACTCGGGTCCAGCGTCCATCATGGCTCGTTCTCCGGGCCCGAATTCGGTGGGCCAGCGTGGCCGGGACCAGCGACTGGCGCTCGTCCCCAGGCCGGTTCATCATAGTAAGTTAGTATTCCGCTTTCTGTGTCGTCCGGGTGCCCTGGGGCGTCACGCTAATCCCGAGTCTGGCCCTCCGATCCCTAGATGTGCTGTACCACACGCACGAATCAAGTACATCAACCGAGCCGTCACCAATTTCTGAGCGGAAGACCTTCCCCAGGCTGGAGAAGCAGAGGTAGGAAGCGTCGACCTGGGAGTGCCGATGGTTTCCCTGGGATCGTTACCGGGGGAACGAGAAAGTCTGGCCTCCTCTTCGGGGCCGGCGCAACGGCTGATGGGTCCCAAAGAAACCTAGAAAACCTCCAAAGTCGGCACCCATCGGTTTGACCGCTCCGTATTCCTCGGTTTCCAAGTCAACTTAGAAAAAGGGGACTCGTCGCCAGGGAAGAGAGTCGCTGGGCAGGAACCTGGACAGGGAACTTTCCGACCTGGAAGTGCGTTGCCCCGGCCCCGAATGGGTTCTCCACCGGGATCATCGGTTAGACTTTGAGGGGAGAACTCGTCGCTGGTGGGGACCAAACGTGGAGATCGGTCTCGCGGTGAACGGGTGGTTTCCGATTTTAAGGAGTCGCGGCGCTACCCCGGACGTCGAGGCCAGTCGCACCCCTGGGGTCCTGAGGGCGGCTCCGAAGTCCGAGGTCGGGATGAGACCTTATTCCGCCAGCGTTTCGCCCAACCACTCGACCGATCACTCGACGGGCCTCCGGGTGGGAAGGAGCGATCGCCAGAAGCTGGAGAACCCTCGCAAGTCCCTCGAGTCCCTCTACCTCCTGGACGAGCCCAACGGCTCCCGGAATTTCCACAGGAACTCCAGGATCAGGGCTCTCGGTCGGGAGGAGTCCTGGAACAACGAGTTCTCCGCTCTCGAGCTGAAGCCCCCCTCGGGCTTCATGGACGCTCATGAGATGAGCGAAGCCGAGTGCGACATCGACATGAAGCTGAGGGTCCACCGGAAGAAGCCTGGCACCCCCAACTCGCTCTCGAAATCGCCAAAAGACTTTACCATCACCGTTTAAGTATAGCGAATATCAAAAGAATACGTATGTGTAATTCATTATGACTGTTAAGCTCTCGAAGTTTGACCTGTCGAGATGACCGCCTCGGAAGATGGTATTAACTCTCGGTGTACAATAAAGACATATTTTTTTAGGAAACCGGAGAGTCTCCTCGTGATCGCGGGAACCATCGTCGCTCCTCCGAGGGCGACGTCCGTGCGAGATTTCCCTGAAGTGTCGTCTATCCCCGATTTTTTTTTTTTTTTAGGAACATTCTCCCAGATGTACTCGCGCCATGTTCCTCGATAATTAGGGAGCGATAAACACTTTATTACATCGATTCGATAGTTACAGGAACGCAAACGGTGGACCGTCGTGACACCGCAAGTGGGAACGTGGTGCAAGTGCGCTTTCGTACAAAATATTAGTGGATCCTTATTAGTCGTCGCCTGCGCCCTCGTTTTACCTCAGATGTCCACGGATCCGTTTTATTATAATCGGAGCCATTTTGATTTTCTCCCGAATCGGAGCAGTTCTCGGTCGCGTGGAATTGTGCAGTTAATCGCGAGACAAGCGTGTCCGTGCCTCGTTGTCGGGGAAATTCCTGTCAAGTTACCCGCGGCCATTAGAAGTTTCATAAATCAAATGCAACGGAAGGTAAGGGGAAGTTAGGGAACGGGCATTGTGTGTCCTGGGTGGAAATTTCCGCCCCAATTTTCCCCGGGGTTGCGTCCCTCGGGATAACGCGCTCCTACCCTAAGGTTTCGTGCCCACCGCCTCTGGCTCCGCTGGGAAATAAAATAATGGAAATCCTGAGAAGTTCGGAGATGAAGAAACCCTACGGTAATTTAACACCGACCGAGTTATTCCCACCGTTCGCGGGAATTTCATAAATCCCTGAAAAAGCCGTAACGAATGTCGAAGGTCCTTCGATAAGGTGGAAGAATCGGCGAAAGCGATCAGCGACCTCGCAGTCTGAATAACAATTTATTCCAGCATTGGTTATTGACGATTTAGTTATGTCGGTACTTAGGACAGGGAACTAAAGAGATTGAAATATCTGAACGACGTTTTGCCCTTCGGAAAATCGGAATTCTACTCAACGGGTTTGACATTTTGTACTTATATTCAGAATGGTCTGCGAGACTCGCGAGTTAAAGATCTGGGGGATACAAAAATTAGGTATTTCAAAGTGTCTTCCTTTTGTTTTTTTGCTTCTTTTATATATATACGTCTACACGTGTGGACCGATTGCACCTCGACGGACGTAAATCAATTTTCCAGAGCGAATAGCGTTTGCGTTAAAAAATATCTAATCTCGCTAAACAGCTCGCTAACGATGGTTGCCAAGACGTGGAATCGTGATTCTAATAAAGTCCCATCTGGATTAACTGTCTGCACTCTATTTGATTTCTCTCTTTCTCTCCCCCACGTACACTGAGACGCTCCCGGCAGAAATGAAAAAGCTCCAAGTGAATTTCATAAAATCTATCAATTACACAGAGTACATCTTTAACTGCGATAACGTTTTATGTTACGGTTATACACTGGTAGCGGGCAAACGATGTTCCTCCCTCGAAAGAAAAAGAAAGCCGAATAACCTAGTCATCTGTACAGTCATTGGGGGGGGGTTCGTCTACCATCGTTACATTTTTAAATCCTAGGAAATCCTTATTCTTTGTTAATGCCCCCTGATATATAAAAACAAAAAGGAACATCGATAAAACATTCGAAATAAATTTCACCGATGATATTTACACGTGCCAAAATGAACGGCGATCAATGGATTGCTCAATTTGCCATGGAAAGAAAATTTATACAAAAATTCGGAGAAAGCCCATCCATTCGGCTTAAATAAATAATGCAGTCGTCGCTACTCGAGGAGAATTCGACTTCGTTTGCCCGTCAGTCGTCCGATTATCGTTAAACTACCTCCATGTGGTCGCAGACATTGAAAGCCACACAGAGTTATTACTTTAATAACATATATTAACATATTCTGTACGTCGCCACGAGTTATCTCATTGTCTAGACCTTAATTACACGTACATGTGGTATCTTACCGTAAATCGCTCTCTAGATTAATCCTTCGATAATTGAGGGCCTCTCGTGTCCTTCTAGACGTCCGTGGTATTTACAATGTCTATGTACAAATACTGTTTGAAATGACAAAAATACCTTCGATCCAGGTGATCGCATCGCGCGGTCTAAAAGGATAGAGAGCGGCGTCGCCGATAAGAGATTATGTCGCGCCGCGTCGACGGAGGCCATTTTCGAAGCCTCGAATTTGAAACTGATAAAGGGGGCGGCGGGGGCGGAAATCCGGAATCAAACGCAAGTGGAACACAGTGAATTCGCAGGCAGTGCTCGGTCTGCCGCAAGTCGGAATTGGATTCGCGATTTTTGGCGTCTCTTCTTTTCTAAATCCTCCATTTCGCGAGGGAGTCGGCGAGTGCGCGAGGACGAGTCGTGGGACGACAAGAAACGACATTAAATGACGGAACGACGATTCATCCAGGGAGAGATCGGCTCTACGAGACCCCGCGAGCCGAATTGGACGATCCTCTACAGTAAAACGATGTTAAAAAGTTGCGGAAACGGTTGGAGAGCGGTGACTTCGATGCGCGCACAAGAGGTGTCCCCTGCGGGCGCCGCCACAGCGCGTATAAAAAGGTACAAACTTTGGAAAAATCCGGGTCTCTCCCTCTCATTTTCTCTTTTTTTTCTCTCCCTCTCTCTCTTTCTTGGTAATCCTAGAGCACGGTACATCGGCCACCAAAGAGCGCGGATGAAAGCACGAGAACGACTACCGGGGAGCTCGAGTTAAAGGAATTGGGCCGGGAAAAACAAACCGATGTTGAACTTATCGCAGAGTAGGCCAGTTTGCGTTACAGCCGCCATTAGCTCGGCGCGGTGTAACGCGCTTAATAGGGTATAATTATGCATCGTAATGAACTCGAATTACACCCCATCCGGCGAGTGAGCGCGCGGTAGCTTAGCTTTAATTGGTCGTGAAGCATCTGCATGGGAGAGACACTCCCGCAGGGTTTTCACAGGAAACGAGATCCTCGTCGAGATTCCTGCCCTCTCCCGTAGAAGAGTCCTCGGGGTCGAAAGTGGGCCCGGGATTCTTCTCGGGATTTCGGCAAGCCGATTTCGAGGCGAGTCGCCATTTTACCGCGGACCCGTATTAAGAAAAGAAAGGAGTGCTTCCGCGAGGTGTCCTTTCCGGCCTTCAATTCTTCGCGCATAATTCTCTAGTCGATGCTTACGCTATACTTCACGTGAGTCCGGTTGTCCGTCTCTTTCGGGCCGCGTTCGGAATCCCAATGGCCGACCGACCGAGAGGTACGCTTTCGCAAGAGTCGCAAACGCAAACGCCGCTCGCGCAATTCGACGTGCCGTGGAGAATGATCGCGCCCTGGTTGTCGCCCGCTAGACCGATGATATTAAATGTATATTTATAAGCTACACCGCGAATATCCTCGAATATCTTTACAAGACCTGTAGGCGTGCGGTGCTACCTCGCGTCTCCGACTCGGCCTCCCTCGGTGCGAATCTTCTTCGCCCGTGAAATGATCTATTATTAAATTCTAATTAATTTCCACGCCACATGTTCGCGGCTTTAAAAATCCTTCCCGTCTTCCCCAGAACGTGGAAGCCTTGCCGAGGGATTAGAAAAATCTTCCGAAGAGGAATCGAGGGCCTCGCATCGCGGGGACGCCGAGGGAGCAGCTCCAACTTTCCCGATCGAATTTTCTCGCTCGTCGGAGTTTCCTCAATTTTTCCAGAAAGACTGACCCTCGTTTCCCAAGGATCTCGGTCCTTGCCAAACCAGGGCCACTCTAGTCCGAGGCTGCGCAAACAGTATACTGACTAGAATCTAAAATAAAGTCTATACATGCTCGTTCGCTTTAAAACTTACTGGCTAGCGGGTTACCCTACCGTTGTGTCTGCTCCTTTAAATATATCGATCTTGTACAACTATCGAAATACGTGTACCGTAGAACGCGGACTGCGTCCGAGGCTGAAAAACGCCCTTTTGAACGCGCATCCGCGAGACAGAGACAGATTATCAATATGACTTCGATATCCTAGGTAACGCTACACTTTCTTTTGTTCCTCGAGTGCGGTATACCCTGCAAAGTCGATCGGACGCATCATTTCCGGTTCCGATTTTTTTTTCTTATTATATTCATCTTCTCGGGGACGAATCGATATCTCGCCTCGAGAAGTGTTTGTCAAATCGCAGCTTTCCGCCATTTAGTTTTCTCCGGGCGAGCGCACTCCTCCGCGCGAATCTTCGCAATTACCTGTCGTCGATCATCGATCATCGATCGAGTCCCGATCACGCACCACCGAGTAGGTTTACTTCTCACATACGGTACGATTTTGTCATTAGTCTACGTACATAGGTTTTTACTTTGTTACAGTCCCGCGGACACGTGTCGTAGAGTCGATGATTCGGGTCTCACTTCGTCAATAGATCTCTATGTGCCTAAACGTATTATATCGATATACGTGTCCGATCGAAGGAGGGCAGAGGAGGGATTGTTTGATTAATCGGCCCGTGCGGTATAATCAGTTGTTACATTTCCTGTGATACGAGAAAGTAGCGTAGTAGCGAAAGTACGTGAGTCTTCCGAAGGTCTATTAAATTTTTCCCGTATGTTGTCCATTACGTATATATATATATATAAATTTTTTTTTTAATTCCACCTTTCATGAGAAATCTTTGCCAACCCCTGAATGGATTCAATTCACCTCGTAATTGTATTATTACCTGGAATTCGTAACTACATATCTGTCTAGGTGCTAAAGAGAGAATCGCTTGTAGGCCATCAATTGGAATTGTAGTGCACAGCGACGTCATTAGACTAAATGACGGATTATTCAATTTGCCGGAGCCTCCTCGGTAAAAAAGCATCGGAGGGAAAAATGGAATTCCTGTTTTCAGTTAATATCTAATAGCTTATTTACACGCTAATTTCGGAGACGGTCGTTTAACAGCTTAGACGATTATACGGTAGAAGTAGCAAAAATCCCGAGTCAGTCTTAAAACACATCCCATCAGCTGGAATATGCAAATGCATCGTGCCATTAACAAAGTAACGTGTTAATAAATTGAAATTAATTTCTATCATGTCGTTAGATAATTGTGCTCGACTCAGCCTTAAGGCTTCCTCGCGTTGATCTTGCAATTATCCTTACAATTAAACACAGAGGAAGAAGGAAAACCCGGAGAGAATTCGATTTAATTAGAAAGATTTGTTAGAATTATTCGCTACCGATGGAATTGGAAAGATATCACACGTGATCATTCGGGAGTTGGCATGACTCGTGGAATGTAAATTTCAGCTCTAGTAATCTTCGATAGTTTTCAGTGGCTTTCTCCTGCATGCACTTATGCAGTTCTTATGCACATCAGGCTGCACTTCCTCGTAGAAATGTCTACCGCGGGCCGTTGTTCGCGCACTTCAGTATTAACACTTCGATATCTTACAGCTAGATATAAATATACATTTATATATTATGAACATTACGTACAGCACAAGAATTGTGACTCGATTGTTAGACTGATTCCATCACGAGTAGACCATTTGGCTTAGAGACGTGTCCGTCGCGGGTTCAACACTGACTACCATCTAAGACGATAAAAAGTTCCAGTTTAACATTAAAGAGCAATGTTAATAAGTCTTGTTAAATTCGTCGCCCGACGGAGTGGCTACCTTACGAGTTGGATTTCATTTGTGCAGTGCAATTGAAGACGTACCTCGCGAGTAAGAAAATTATCCTCGTTACCGGCTATGCTTTTGCGTAATTTAACCCAGCTAGATTGTAGGCGACTCGATATGCGTTAAAAACAATGCAAATCCAGCGACCTGGCATTCGCAAGACTCGGTAGAAAAACGGAAAGAGAAAATAAACAAAAGAATTGTATGCGATGGTACAAAACGGACTCGAGTGCTGGCATTTCCAGAGATGTGTCTTTGCGGTGGATATTATTTAATGACGGCATGATATATTTACCGATGTCACGATTGTCAATATCGTACTCTGCGATCCGACATAATCCGTGGGCAGACATTTCGAATTTTTCTTATAAACATTAATATCTCCTCGAAAATGCCCACGACCTTAAATTGCAATAAACTCGGACTTCAATTCGCATTGTCGAGTAGAACAGCATTGCGGAATGTTGTCAAATAGCGGCGAGGAATTAAATATTAATTTTACACCATAGCAAATGATGATGTCTGAACGTCGAAATGCATTGGAAAAGTCTATGGCAAATTCCGGAGCTGAAGTCACTTTGCAGTGCACAGTTAAATAAAAAAAAAAAAAGAACAGTCTCTGAGTCGTTTGTGCAATAGCGTTGAAAAAGTCGTAGTTACAAATTAACGCAGCTTATGCGACGTAAGGGTCGGAATTCGCGTTGTAAAAAATTGGTTTAAGAAATTCTGGGAATGAAGGAATCCACGGTATACGAGGAAAACGAGGTGAACTGTTTAACGGACTTCAGGATTCGCTTCTAAAATGAGTATTAAGGTGTAAGGTGTATAAGCCGTAGAAAAAATATTATTTGGCCGTGTCGAAGAGCCGAAACTCGATGTTGTCGAGGAATGGACAAAGAAATGCATAAATTGTCAATAATCGTTAGGGGTAAATGGACCGCCGCCGTAACAGCTGATCGGATTAACTACACTAATCGTTTTAGCATACGCTGCGAGTCCGGCTTTCCGTGCTTAGTTCTGGTAAATGCATTCAAGACGTGTGGAGTGTGTCACTGGAATGCTGAAAATATTGAGCAAAACGCATGCTAATCACATCAGGAACGTTCGGCTCGAAGAGCAGACACAATGAATTTACATCGCTACAAGATCAAACGTATCCATGCGCGCCAATCACACATCGATGTACACACGAGATATACACAGCCCAGTCTACGTACGAGCTAGTTTAGCGATTAAAATTACACATTACCACCTAATTCTTTGGCAACTCGGGTTGTCGGATGGTCCGTACGATTATTTACAAATCGAATACAAAATACCCGCACGGGCTCGCGAGAGGAGGCTGGCCAAGCCGTCAACAATGTCGCCTTCAGCAAGGGGAACTAATAATTAAAAATCACTGTTAAAACTATCATCAACAAAATGATCGATTAATAACGCGCGGTGACATCCTCCCGATGTACCGCAGATAGTCTTTCTTCAAGCTCTCGCTCGCTTCCCTTCCACTTCAGGATCTGCTGTCCCAATCGGTACATACATCCAGCACTGATAAGACTATAAATCGCATCTATAACAGTCAACACAGAGTACATCGGACGAATGTCGACCTGTCCCTTGAGTGCCCGTTCATGATATAAAAGATGTCTCCATCAATTTCCATAGAGTAATCGACGCGAGCCTCCTCCCACCAGCCATCTACGCGTGGCGACGATCGAAATCATTTTCGATGTGATCATTACAGTCGGTCGTTAATTATCCCTACTGAGTCTTACGGCGTTAAAATATTACGGTGAAGTCGTTAGCATAGCGTTCGGAATTGTCTCATCAAGGACGAAACGTCGACCCGTCCTCGAGGGTTGCGATGAGTTGGCGATGGAGAGGCAGAGTACGCCTAAACGCTGCAGGCATCTGTAAACGACGGATCCTTTCCGGGACAAGGGAAACGTCTCCATACCCACGGTTTCTCACGGGAAGGATAATCCCCTGGAGTCCTTTAGGGCTCCAGGACCATAAACACTTTCGCTAAACCTCTTGTCCTCCAGCGGAGTAGTCTAGGCCCAAAGGGGTACAGCACTTTGTTCTCCGCGCAGAGAGCTGCGCGCTCGTTAAGGGGCATTCATCTTGCTTCCGGTGCCGCCAGGGGATCTTTCTTCGCCTTTGACTCTGGAGTTCGACTTGAGTCAGCACTAGTTGGACGCCGAAGTGTCCTCGAGTGGCCGATCACCGACTGGAGAACGCAGATCACCGGTCTTCGCCCAGTTACCATCATTGCGGAGCCTTCGCGCAGGTGGCTTCCATTCCTTCGGGTGGCACTCGCATGTTGCCGTTGGTAATGTACCCATTCGCATCTATTGCTACGTGGGCACCGACAACAGGGTGGTTCCCGTAATTTGCCGTGCAAAGGGGCACCCCTGCGTTGCCTGGAATGACATGGTCGCTCCGCCCGACGCGATTCGCGTTCGCCAGACCTCCTCGGTCATTCGAGTGGCTCAGGTGAACAGGGATAGAATATTCCGCAGGGTATTCCGACGTCACCTCCACGGTGTATTCTCGAGGAGCCGTTTTTACGGTGTAGTCGACCGGCAAGTGTTGAATGGTCGTTGACGATGTCATCAACGACGGATCCGTGGGCCTGTTCAATGATCCTACGTGGCCGTTCGGCATAGCGTACAGATCTGGCTCCACCTGCGTCTTCGATGACAGCACTGACTCCAGACAGTGATATATCAGAGCATAGTCCTCCTGCAAATCGTATTAAGGAGTACTTTAATCACTCGAAGGTACATCAAGAGGAGGAGAGGCACTCGCTCGTAACTACTGAACTATAACAGTCTCCTCCAGATCTTTTTATCTCCTGATTTTCCCCTAACTACTCAACCAGAAAACGATCGTTAAGTGCTGCGAAAGGTTTCCAAGAAATAATTTCATGGCTCTCCGCATTTAATATTTCAATCCCGCTTAGTTAGGAGTTAATTGGCATTGCTTTTATTCCCGAGTTTTTACCATCTGGGAACCATTTTTATTTCCCTAGAAAGTAACTCGGTTTACGTTGCTTTGTATTAAGTGAAGGTATACCTTCGTCTTGAATACGCCAGGCCTCTTCATGTGTAGCAGCTTGGCGAACATGTAAATGTCTGCGCTCTGCTCGAATTCAAGTTGCTTGTTCAGTGTCGTTAGTAGGACGAAGAGGCCGGCTTCGATGCCACCGAACCTGAAATCCATGCTCGTTGATCATTTCTTTCCTAGCAAAAAAAAAAGGAATTATAAACTAACAGTACCTGTCCATTACGACGATCGGTCCGTTCTGATAGTCCCGGTGGAAGTCTTGGATGACGTTGACGAAGACGTTTGGGTTGTTGTTGTGAGGCCACGGGCCACCTTGATTGAGTGGTCCTTGGACGATCCTCGCACTGAGCTCGTAATCGTCTTGCAATGATCGAACCGCCACTTCGCGTAAGAGGATTCCACTTTCGGTTTGCTTGATTCCACAAAGCCGCACGCGGAAAGTGTCGGACTCCAAGTCTTTCCCCTCCGTTGGCCAAAATTCAGGGTACTCCTTAAAGAATGATTACGGTAACCGTTTCGTCGCCCTCCTAGCTTTATGAAATTCACTCAAATCGAGTTAAGTTGATAAACACCTCATCGCTCTGCGTCAACATCACGACAGTCTGGGCGTTGTGGTCCCACATCATCTTCCAGAACTCCATAATGGTGTTCTCCATGGGATGCTGGGTTATGATGAACTCCCGATTACGTTGGAATCCTGAAAAGGGAAGTGACGTTACGTTACTTACCACACGCTCCATTCGTAATGAACTACAGCCGTTCGGCAAAAATCAATGCATCTCGAATTACCAGAGAACCAAGTGGCGTTGATATAGTCGCTACCGTCTATTCCTGGCTTGGGCGTCAAGTGCACGCGAGAGTTCTCGATAGGTATTATTTCCATATTGCGGTTCTTGTGGATGTTGCACGGCTTGGTAGCGGATACCAAGTTGATGTCCTTCGGCTTCCACGAAGTAACCAGCTTAAACGTGAATGCATTAGAAAATTAATAAAAATAAACAGAGAAATAGCATTTCATTTTGCGGCTGGCTATAATGTACCTTAAATTGGGCTTCTAAATTATTCCATGGATCCGTCTTGTTGTTGGAGGGGCACAGCATGTCTTGTATGTGCTGCATCAGGTTGTTCGAGTGGATGTTCGTCTCGCCACTTTCGATGGCTTCTTGCAGCGCGTCGTGGATGAAGATGTATTGTTCTTCGGTCTGCACGAGGAAGTTTCGCTGGGTGCGAATGTGTTTGAGGAACCCGAAAACATTGATCTCTCCTTTACTCTTCGCCTGCTTCAGCATGGCATCGATCACTATGTAGGTCCCAGTTCTTCCTACTCCGGCACTGGAAATTTTGATAAACGTCAATTGCACTCCTAAGCGACGCCCATACGAGAGGAATCTTGCCCCATACTTTTTACAGCCTTACCTGCAGTGTACGATGATGGGACCAGCATCGGCAGGATTCGCATTAGATGACTTCCGGATGAAGCTGAGGACCGGCAGGGGATGATCCGGAACTCCGTGATCGGGCCATCCGGTGTAATGGTACTGCAGGACCGTCCGCTCGCCCATGTTGGTACCGTTTTTCTTCTTCTTGATCTGCTTAAATTTTAATCACAAACGCACATTTCCTCGGCTACCCTTTGGCTGGGATTAACGCATCGAAGAATCATGAGAAATATGTATACCTTAAGATGACGAATGTGTAGAGTCCGGACTGTGTACGTCGCCATTACGTCCTCCCTCATGAGACTTACTTGAATGTGACCGTAAGTCTCGCTCCCTTCTTTAGGCCAGTACATATCACATTTTTTCTGAAACGTCAGAGGAATCTTTCAATACCAGTATCTAATCTCAATTTCGGATAGGATTTTAGTTGGCTGTCAAAGTGCAATTCTCTTTTCTTTATTTTTTTTTTGGCTGACTTACCCGACCCCGTTCGACCAGATTCGTGATCATGACGATGATGGACACCCTTTGCTCCCAGACCATTCGCCAGAATCCATCGAAAGTCGGTGGTAAAGGCCCCTGAGTACCGATGTAAGCTCGTGCTCGTTGCCAGCCATCTATGTAATTCGCGTTTACATAATCCTGCCCTTTCTTCGGGGGTCCTCCACCACATGACAGCAATTGCACGCGCGTATGGTCATCTAAAATTAAAAATCACCATTACGACCATCCAAGCAATTCGCAATACCTTAATTTATCAAAAAATCCAAAGAAGTCCATTTGTATCGGACTATAAAACTAAGTACAAATATTTTCGGTATAAATTTCAGTCCCGTGGATTACGTAATCTGGATCAGAATAATTATATTTGAATGTCCCGCCTTTTGGGTCTACATAATGGTTCACGTTGGTCTATACGTTGGTTATTAAAGCGAGTCTCAGTCCATACCTACAAAATTAATGGTAAATCTCTCAAAGCCTTAAAAAAAATAAAAAAAATATCCACGGTCCACTTTCCGTCTACTTCCGAGTAATCGTATGAAATATGAAAATCGCGACGCCAAAGCCTTCCTTCATTATCTGCAAACGTGGCAGCAGTAAAAACTTTTCTGGGCGTTAAGTTAAGCGACAAAGGTGGCAGACACATTGAACACCTATAATTATCAGTGCCGTATGCATGAGCACGCATATGTTTGCATATCTGATGATGTACACTGACTCATGTGTGACACTGATGAATGAACGTTGCACCTCGTAAGTAGACCATCTTTCTCTCTCTCTCTTTTTTTTCTTCTTCCTAACCGTATTATTTTTTTTTCCATTCCTAGTAGGATAGTGGAGACTTTCCACTTAAGAAAAATCTCCGAAGATCATCCGAGATGTTCGAGGAATTTCTTAGACTCACAGGCGAGGATGTTCAAGTAGCGATTCTTCGTCTTGTTCTCTGCATACTCGGAGTTCTCGACGGTGTAACTGCCAGTGTCCAATTGGATTAATTCGTACTCCTTACTGAAGCCGATGTCCCCGTCGGCATGTAATTCGGTAACGTGTTGAGCGAATTGTTGAACGGCCACGGCGGTTCTCTCTCCGTCCTGCTCGCTGTTCTCCCAGTCTTGCAGCGTCGGGACGTTCCTCGGTGGGTAGTCCAAGTAGTAATATGCAGTGTGGAAGCACTTTCTGAAAATTGGCCTAAGACACGGCCTGATAAGTGGACAGTCTTTACGCAATCGGGAAATAAAAAGATTAAGTAAACGAGAACGAATGGGAAAATGATTAGGCCGAGTTATCTCGATTTTCCCAGACCTTTTCCTTAACCACGTTCCTTGGGAAATTCTACTCCGGAGTATCCGAACTCCGTCGCGGTTTCGACTTTCTATTTTAAGTCCAGGTTTATTGTGTCAGCTGTGTTAGGATGTGAATATCCGCGCCGAGCTCCGTCTACTGGAGGGAAATAGCAAAGACTCCTTCGATTAGCTCTTCCCCGAAGATCAGCTGACGATGACGCTAAGCGTCGAGGTAAGTCGTTCCTTTAGAATGAAGAATAACGCTAAAAAGGGCCAGTGGGCGTAAAAATGAATATCTTACGGGGTCACGATCCGCCTGAGAGAGCACAGAACACCCGGGAAGCGCATCCTCGTGTCTCTCGCCCTCCTCATCGCGATATACGAAATTGACTGAGATACGCGACCGAGCGCTCGAATCCCGATTCTTTCCTCGCCGGAGTTGGAAATCTTTTCTTCGCGACGACCGAGCGACTGTCGGCAAGCTTTACTATAAACACGGTTATCACTCGTGGTTATCACGGGCCGATAAGGCCGGCAAAATTAAGGATCGGCAGAGTCTACTAGCTATCCCTGCCATTGTCTTCGCTCGTGACTTTGCGAGCGATCGACGCCAAGTCGGGGAAAAGAAATCGAAATTAATCGACTAAGGGAGAAATTCCCATTACAAGGATTTCAGGTATCGAGATCATATTTCGCGGATTATCCTTCGGCGTGGAATCAGTTCACGGAGGGCAGGTTTTACATTTTCCTTTCGCAAGGAACGCGGAGCCAGATGTTCCTTTGACATCGGTCATTTTTCACCGGTTCGTGGCAGACGCGCTATATTTGCTCGGCTCGGCTCGGCCCGAACCGCGCTTCGACTTCCAACTTTCCGCCGTGGATAGTACGGGATTGAAATGCTCAAATGCGCGGCGTTATTTAAAGCGGCCAGTTCTTTGATCTGGCGGGGTGTATTAATTGCAGCAAACCGACAATAACGTCTGCACCGGTCAAAGCGGGGCGAAATGCTATCGGAACCTCGAGCGCCCGTCATCCCGGTTCCCAGTAAAATCCACGTTGCCGAAATGAATACGGCAGGAGGTAAAAAGGGAAAAAAAATCGGTTAAAATTCCGCCAACGGCACGCGAGAGGGGAAACGCGGTTTATGAATTTTTTACCCAGCATCGCTCTCGAAAGGGCGAATTTCCACGGGAATTTCGTGACGATCCGGCCGCTCCCGGAAAGAGGAAGAGGGAGAAAAAGGAAGCCCGAAAGCTTGGACTCCCTTCTTGGAGATTTCCCCGAGTTTTCCAGATTTAGCCGCACTCGTGGACGTTTTCGGCCACTCCGAAAGGTCTCTCCAAAATGGCGCCTCTCCAAGACACTCGTATCGGGCTTCATTTCCGCAGTTTCTTTCCTTGACGATTGACACGCGAAAGGGACAGGAGGGAACGAGGTGCAGGGAGATGGACCGGGATGCTGGGCGTAGATTATCACGAAGGAACTCACCTCCACAGGACGAACGACGCGATGGCTAGCATCACGGCGAAGCATGCACAGACCATTCCCGCGATGACTCCTGCACTTAGGTCCTTGGTACTCCTGCGCATTAACGGAGGGGTTTTGTCACAGTCCTGAGCCACCAGGATCTTCCTGGGCTCCGTGTTGTTCCCCTTGATGACGAGCCGGCGATCGATGATGCTCCTCGTGGCGCCCCTCACCATGACTTCGTACATGGTGTTCATGGTCAGATTCGGGATTACCGTCTGGAAATATCAATGCTCGTACTTAATTATCATAATTTTAACGGCATTCCAGGAGAATCTTTTGTAGGGCGGATTTACGCGGGAAGCGATACGACCATGGCTTAGGCCCCGGCTTGTTGGTAAACCTATTTGCTTTGACAAGACCGAAGACCAACAAGGTCAGGTCACCGTGGACTCACTCTGCTGTCCAGCTCCTCCTTGTCGGCGAGCAGCTCGATTTCCTCGTATTCCTTGGCATTCGGGCTGCTATAGGTAATGTAGTAATAGTCGATGGTGTTCCAGAAGAGCCCGGGCCTCGCCCAATGGATGTATATCGCGTCGTGGGCTTGACATGTCAAATTCAGTATGGTGGGTGCCCCGGGTCCTGCGATGTCGGTCTTGTGGGTTATGTGCTCGGAAGGCTCTCCCTCGTTCTTCCATGTGAAGGCCTTCACCCATATTATGTACTCCGTAAATGGTTCTGCAAGCGGAATTGAATTTTAACTAAAATCTAATTTAAATTCCTCTGTTGGGAGGAAAGGCGCCTAAACGAGTATGGATATTGAATTGCGATGGAATTGAATTTATCCGCTAAAAGTCCTCACCGAGGCTGGTCAGGTTGAACGTGACCACCTGATTCTTGGCGTTGTCGTCCCGGTGGGCCTTGTCATCTTTGTGTGTCTTGACGTCGGTAAAATTGGAATGCATGTAGTAGACCCGGTACCCCTCGATGACGCCATTCACGTTTTCTGGCTCCTGCCAGGATAGCTCTATGGAAGACGATGTGACACCATGGGCAGTGAGGTTCAGCGGCCTGCTGGGAACTGCAAGGAAAATCATCCATGATCGATCTTGCAGGCATGCCATTTTCAAGAACCCGCCCAGACACGCGATCGGGTTTAACCATCCGCACGGGACCCCATGGGAAATTGTCAACTATTTCTCGACATATGGGGCTATTTCAGGGGACGTGCCCCGGGGCACGCAAATTTCTCCTGTTATTATTTAGCGAAGGAGTGGACGCGCCTGCGCGCTCCGCGGAAATAAGGGTGCACCTATTGACTCGTCTCTCATGCCTTGTACTCCGAATTCTGTTCGAGGCTTCCCCTTGCACCCTTTTGTTCCAGTCTTCGCTGGATTAGGCTAGGTCGGACTCGGTAAAACTCCCTTGCGAAGGCGGGAACGTCCATCGAGGGCGAATATATCCTCCAAAAATTTTTACCTCGGGCTCTGTCCAGGTGGACGTTACAATAGCCGCCGAACTGGAGGACCCAATTCTTCCAGGCGTTTCCTCCGGAGGAGATAGTTAATGCTCAGCGATATATCTCTTAAAATAGGCGCGGAACCGTCCAATGGAAAATTGATTTCGGAAAAATTGAAGGCAGGGTTGAAAGCGCACCACCGAGTTTCCGGAGAGTGGCGTCTCCTGCAATTTCTTGCCGGGTGCTTAAGGTGATCGCGCTCTCCTGGGTATCTTTCAATCTTCCGAGAATAAAGCAACGTTAGGAGGGTAGGCGGGGTCGCGGAGGGTCAAACAGTGAATACTTAATAGCTTCTTCAGTGAATCCGCAGACTTCTCGAGGAAGAAAAGGGTCGAAATAGCTCGGCTCATACGCTATTCAGATCCGAGACTAGACGGTGCCCAGCGGTGGCGCTTTCTGCCGCGCTCTTACATTTTTCACTTTTATTTTCCTGCTGAATAGTTTAGTCCCCGGGGCACAATGGGTCGCGAGGCACCGCGACAATGACTAAACATGCGTTTCCGATTTATTAGCGCCCCGCGGTCGCGGCGGGTGCATCTCGACCTCCTGCGAGTTGCGAAACTGCGTGAAACGCGCCTAGCTCGTTGCATGAAAAAGGAAAGGAAAGAGGAGCGATCGCCGATAGGGTCGTTACACGCTCGCTTTTCAAGAATCGAGGCCCGTTCCCGGAGGCCCGACTCTCCTCTAGGGAACATATTCCAGGATATTGCTAAACCCCCGCGGAGAAGAAATAATGCTATCTGAAATCTCAACCGCGCCGACTGCTCGCCGGAAGTTTAACTTAGGAGCGGTAATAGCTCCGCTTCCTGTCGAGGCCTCAGCTTTTCAGCCGCGGATGATCGCCTTGGTTTTGACCGTTTCTTCGGCTTTTTTTTATTTTTTTTTTGTTTTCTTTTAACGTGACACACACGATACGTGAATCACCATACGAGCCCACTTCTCGGGAAGTCCTTGTGGACTGCCGGATTTCGTCCTCGCCCCTTATCCCCGACGTCCATCCTGCACCGACCAAAATTCACGTGAATTAATTGCGGAGGTCTTTGTCACCGTTTATAGCCTTTATGCGTTTTTAACGACTGCTGTTCCTGAAAATACCCAGACTGGATTTTATACACGCCCTTCAACCTGCACCGATCAATATTCCCGTGAATTCATTCCGGGGGACTTAATAGCCACTTTTCGCTCGTACTCACTTTCAACAATTACCATTCGGAAAATGTCCAGACTGAATTTTGTTTTCGCTCTTCGACCTGCACCGACCAATATTCCCGTAAATTCCTTCCGGGGGATTTTATTGCCACTATTTGGTCGTAGTCGCGTTCAAAAATTATTATTCGAAAAATATCCAAACTGGATTCTGTTTTCGCCTTTCAACCTACGCCGATCGATATTCCCGTGAATTCATTCCGGGAGATTTCTAGTGCAACTTTTTGCTCGTAGTCGTTTCCAAGGATTATTATTAGGAAAATATCCAGACTGAATTCTCTCTTCGCCCTCTATTCGCGAGGTCCACCTTGCACCGAGCAAAATTCCCATGAATCAATTTCGGTAGGTTCTTATCGCCGCTAATTTGCCAATAGTTTCTAGCGATTACTATTCGGAAATCTCTTAGGCTGGATCTTGCACAAGATGGGGTAGATCCTCGCGTAGATGTAGATCCACGTATGGATGTACACGCACAGGAGTGCGTTACTTCACGTCTTGCATTCTGCCGATTAAGGAGCGAACTGCCGAGCCGGCACACGAGCGTAACCTTTAAATTTCCAGGGTAGGTGACGTCACATTTCTCTGCACGCACTCCATGGATTTGCAATGTAGATTACGAGTTTCGTACGTGCAGAACCTTTGTCGAAGGATTAGGCGGAAAATCGCGCTGAATTTTTTTCTCTTTATCGGTAATTAACGATACCGCTTTAACTCCAGTTATCTCAGTAAAAAAAATAAAAAAAAAATAAATAAGACAGATATCCCAGAGGAAAGAGGTGCATATTGCACGCGTGCATCAGAGCTGCAGGAAAGATGATATCACCCTTCGGTGCACGCATCACGGAAATCTGCAATGTAGATTCCTATCAGACCTGTGCGGAGTTTACGCGAGCGTTATTTCCGTCCCGATAATTTCCGATCGCGGGAATTTTAATCGGCAAAATGCCCTCGCGATGCGTCGCGATATTCATTCCCGGTAATCGGCGAATTAACGACTCGGTCGAATATATTAATCAACGATTAATGCAGACCACACAACAAATTCTAGTAGGCCTCGGATTACTTTTTGCTCTCCGGCGCATCGAACATCGCGGGTATCGATTTGCCTCGTTACGCGGTTAAAACCGAGCGCATTTAATTAACCGTTCAACGCATCGCCATTCAATTTCCCCTGAAATATTAACGGGGTATTAAATAATGTTAAGCCGCCTCTCGTTATCCCAGGAACTGCCGGGAGATTAAAACGAGGCCTCGCCTATGAACCGTACATGACTCACCCTGTAATTAATGGTCACGGCTGGGCGTTACGTAGAATTGTCTCATTCTCAGTGAAAATATGCTGAAAGTTCCGCGGGTAGGGTTTAATAATCGTCCGCCTCTCCCGAGAGGGGGGTAATAATTTATAACAACGAAAGCAACGGGAAACCGGGAATTTTCGCAATTGCCCCCGGAGGAAGATCTCCGCTGCAACTTCCCAACTGCGCAACTGCAGCAAGTTCAGTGCACCGCAATCGTGCCTGGCCAACTTCAGTTCCACGTTGACCCGGTGAATCTCGCAAATGATTGGATAAGTGGAGAAATTGTCAGAGATTAGGTAATAGTACCGTATCGTTGAATATATTTCGCCTCAATGGCCGACAATGGCGAAGGGCCGGTTCTACCCATCGGCGACCAACTGTCGCCATAGGAGAACCTAAAGCTCCAAAGTTGGCCAATCCCAGTTGGACCGAGGAAATCCAACCGGCGACATTTCGGTGCCACGCAGGTTTAACCTGCGACCAGGTGGATTATCTGGTATTACGGCGTTTCAAGAGTGGAAAGTGACATAACAAGTGGCCTTCGAATCGCGGAAGATATGAAGAAACGGGGATAAATTCAGGTTTCTAATTGTCCCCGCCAGGACGGCGGAGTCCTTGCGACCAGGCACCGAACCAGGGCAGTATCCTTGCCGACGAATGCTTCGGATCGCAAAGAAAATCCAGAAAAAGAGCCAAGTAACGTGGGTCGAAAGGAGTCATTTCTTCCGGGCGAAGAGCGCGCCAGTTGAGGTTAGGTCGCCACGTGGTGGGGCGGTGGGTATCGAAAAACGAGGGAGAAAAAAATTAATAAATAAATAAAATCTAAACGACCCCGTTTTAATGGGACGCGGTAATAATTGCGGTAAATAGGCAAATCCTCTCTCGGTGCGTGTTTAACGACCTACATCACCGGTCGAGACACTTTCAAGGATGGCGACAAAAAGGAGCACGCACGACCCGAAGAAGTGCGACCACGAGTTCTTAATCCCGAAGGCGGTTTTTGCCGGAGCTCGGCTAACCGAGCCGTTGTTGTGCACGACCGTAAAAAAACACCTACGATTATAACAACATGGCGGCCCGTAATCAACTGCCCGCGTTACATGGGTTTTTCCTCTTCCTCCTAGGAAGTGCACCTCAGAATCCCGACCCCGTGCACACCGTTAGATATCTCGCGTAGTTGGCACTGCACCGCACCGACTCGTTATGCACTTTGCACACGGCATTAAAGTCTTTGTAATTAAAAGGTTTAGATCTCCAGGCTGCACCGCGGCGGACCGTTATGCGGCCTGCACGCGGCATTGAAATCACTATAATTAAATAGTTTAATAGCAGCGGGTGACGCTGAATTATACATCCGAGAATTTCCGCAAATTTCCGGGAATATCTGAGAATTTCTATGAATTTTCTAGATCCCCTGGGCTGTTAACGCCATATCTCGGTTACACGGAGAAGAAGTAGTTCCCACGGAAAATCGGAGTTATCTCTGGGAGTCGAGAGGAAATCTCGCGCCTTTCCAGTCGCATAGGTGTGCGCAGGTGAAAGTGCCCAGGCTTAGAAGAAAGCTAAAGGTCGGGAATGTAAAGAGGAATCGAGCATTCCCTCCCGGTCGAAATTCGACATCCTCAGGAGGAACGACACCACTCGAGTAAATGACCCAAACGATGCATTTCCGAGGTATGCCAATTAACAGCAAGTAATCCAGGGCAATTCGAAACGCCCGAGAGCGATCGAGCTACCATTTTTCCGTAAATTGTTTCCATTGACGAGGTCCGGAATCGAATTATTCGGAATTATTCTCCGGATGGATCCGGGGGACCCAGCCCGAGTTCTTTATGCGACCGAGGCGCCGCGTCCCGCAAGCGGCCGCAAATAAAACGCACGTGCTCGGGCGCGCATGCGCAGAGGCCTCGGGAAAGGGTCGAAATGAAGCACCCGAAGCTGCTCGGAAGCCCCAATTATTTACCTCGGTGCGGCTCGCTGTCGTTTTCGTAGGACGGCAGGGCGGTGACGGTTTGCTCGGTGAGGCCGTCGGTGAGCGCGTACACGTTGATGCCGAGCGGGAGAAGAACGAGGACGAGAGCCTTGGCGAGGGCCGACTGAGAGCCGCTGCCCCCCTCGGGCCGCGACATTTTTACCCCTCTCATAGCGGCCGCGGCCTCGATTCGGCAACGAGAGCTCGAGGTGCGCGTCCCTTTCCCGGAGTTACCGGCCTCGGGCCATCCCGCGGAAGGACTTTCGAGGAGAGGCACTCGACACCCCGAAGAGGACCCCGAAGAGGACCCCGAAGAGGGGTCAGCGGGGCGCAGGTGCGTGTCCAGGCGTCCAGCTGCCGGTCAGCGCACCCGGGTGCGCGGTTGCCAGCTGTCAAACTGACAGCTCGGGCGGAGCACGTGCGCGCGACGGCCGGCCATTCCTCGGCGCGACGCGGACCGCGGAGGAGCGGAGCAGCGTTGCTGGGCGGCCGCGATTCCGCCCGGTGCGCTCCAGCGGTTCCACGGTCTCGACCCCGTCTCCCAGGGGCTCCCAACCGGGGCCGAGGAGAGCGGCTCGACGCGCGGGATCCGACTCAGAGGAGGCCCCCGGGTGGGCTCCGCGAAGGACGCGCTACCGACGCCTGCTCGCGGACGCTATCGGCCCGCTTATCGGCCTTATCGGCTCGGCCGTCCATCGCCGGCTCCAGAAACGCTGACGCCGCCGCCCGCCACTCGGATCGGACCCGAGATCCGAGGAGTCCCTCGAGGTCCTCCCGTGGCCGCGGAGAGGGCGCTCGGTAGAATCCTGGATAGCTCTGGACGGAGAGCGACTTCCTCCCGATGTGGACCTCGAGATCGAGGACGCCGCTTAGCGATTACCGAACTCGAGGACACCGTCGGTCCGCTCGCAGGGGCCTCGGACTCGAGAAGGTCCGAACAGATCCGAGCGTCCCGGTCACTCGCGAAACACTGGGCTCCGTCCCCCTTGCGCCCGGAACACCTTTTCCGGGCCCTCCACCTGATCGGCAGCTGCCCGGCACCGGTCACGGCCCTCTTCCCCTGGCCTGGATCTCCGAACCGGCAGTGCAGGCCGCGCGAGCGGGGCGGACGGAACGCGGCCACTCGACCGCTCCGTTCAGAAAGCGCCGCCACTACTGGACCACCTCTCGGCCCATCCTCCGGCACGCATGGCAAAACGGGATACCGCGCACTTCGACCTCTCCACCGGCGGCACAACCGGCGCTCGGACCCCCCAGTCGATACTCCGGCCCTAGAGTCCCTGGCCGGATCCTCGACTCCACCCGCGGGTCCTCGGGCCCGTCCTGGCCATCCTCTGGGCAGACCGCCTCCAAACTCCCCTTCGCCGCGGACTCGGCCTAGGACGCCATGTGTCGGCGAAGAAGGGCTCCTAGGGCGCAGCAGCGCCGGAAGCCCTCCGCCCCCTCGACTCGGCCATCCTAATCCCTGGCTCTCGACTCCCCCCTGTCGGGGTCCCCCGCGACCCCCAGCCCCGTGCACTCCCACGCCCACGATCGATCGACCACCGGCGACGACTGGATCCCCCGGAAACCCAACTTCCAACACCCGGACGGGAGGAAGAGTCAACCCTTTCTCAGGAACTATCGATCACCACTCCGCACCCCGTCCGCCGGTCTCATCGAACTCCCGACTCGCACCATCCGCGACGACCCGGGGACGCGCCAGTCGGCCAAGTGCCGCCGAAATCAGCGATCGATCCCCCCCCGGAGGAGCCGCTTCGCCGGAGCTCCCGACGCTGCCGGCAATTATGGATTTTCTGGCCGGTCGACCTGCGCCGATCTGGCGAACCCGAACCAACTGCGAGGTCGGCGTCGACCAGTTGAGACTCCTGGCCGTGCAGCTGGGACGACTCGCTGCTGGTCACTGGCTCGGCAGCTGATCGACCCGCCCTCCTCTTGACTGGCTCTCCCGAAGGACCCTGCACCGGCTGGAAGGGATCCTCGCAGGATGTCGTCCACGATGCCGGCGCTCTTTCTTGCTGGCGTCGGGGCTGCTCGCGTTGCCTCTCGGCAACCTGCGCTGGGCTCCACGGGCGAACAACAATAACGGCCAAGAGTGGGACGGAAAGCGAGGGGACCCGTGCGGACGAGACCGCCAGGGCCGTACTTCCGGCTCTCCGCACCCGGGTCCCCTTTCCCGGAGGACCCGCCTTCCAACGATCGAGGTCTCCCCTCCTGGGACTCGATTCGGAATTTCTTCCCCCCGAAATCAAACGCAGGAGCCTGAAGATTCCTGGAAAGTCCTCGAGAATCTTATTGCTCCGATTTTTTCTCCTCCTCTACCTGGTCTATCCTTCGCTTCTTGATTAACTCCTAGGAGGAAACGACCCTCTCTTAGGTACTCCTATGGTATCCATCGAATCCGGAAGTTGGTTATCCTTGAGTGGAATTTTTTCTCTGATTTTTTTTTTTTCTTTTTAGACAGCGATTTCGTTGCAGCAATTTCTTCTCTTCTCGACTAAGTTGCAAGAAGGAGGGCTTATATCCCGCGGGTAGCAGCCTGTGCCTCGTTTCGTTACGAGCAGCTGCCGCGACGTCGTAAACCCTCGGCGTCGAGGAACATTCTAATGCAAAGGTGACGCCGCCTATCGTTATCGCCATCGAATATTTCGCAACGGCGATAAATCGAGCTCGGATGCCACTGCACAAAGCGGCCACGGATTGCCGTCCTTCGAAAACGAGCGACGAGTGCCGGCAGGGCTGTAGGCATGCTTCGTGGGTCCCTCCGATCGTCGGGAAATTGTGTGCCATTCTTTATTCACGCACACCACTTTGTCGGCAGCATCTGCCGCAAGTACGGATACGGCACGCATACACGAGCAACCATCCCATCATGCTATTCCAAGATGGCCGCCGCTCGGCGGACACGTGCGTCGATTTTGGAGCCCGAGATCCGTCCCGACATCCGACCGATGCACGCATACAACCCCATTCGGTGGTCCATTCGAGTAATTCGCCAGGTCAGTGCACAGAAAAAATGGAGACATATGAGAATGAAGGTAAGTGCCCCGGGTCTTAAACCGTCATTGGCCGATGTGAAGAGGCGAGGCACAAGTGGCGCCACCTCGCGGTAAATCTCCGACTGGAAATCTAACGAAGAAAATGATCGAGTCCACCAACGTATCTGGAGGGTTCATTTAATTTCGCGCATTAATGGGTCACCGAGAACGCTTATGCAACATGGCCGTCATTGCAGGCGTCTTCGCGTGCCTCCGAAGCAGCTGTTCGTCGGTTGGTATAATTATCCAGCTGGTTTATAGCGTTAATTCGGTGGGTTTATGTATCAGAAACTGATAACATGGTCATTGTACCGGACGAGATCCAGAATGTCGCAGTTGGTAGCTTTAGCCTCCGTGGTTTCTAGTTCTTCCAGTATCCAGCGGTCGGTAAGACTCGGAGGGAGGAATCTATCCATAGTCCGTGCGCACCCCCGCGGTCGGTAAGGTAGATATTCCTACCAACTGGCGATTAAGCGGACGGAGGTACTTCCTGTCGATATCCAGGAGATATTGATTTCCGACGAGGAAATAATATCAGACCCATCGTGGCCACAACGGCGAAGGTATCGAATGATGAATTACTTATATAAATCTGTAAGTATTCGAAAATATACGGATAATCTGTATCATTCTCCTCTGGGAATGGCATCTTCCTCTTTAGGCATCATGTCATAAGGTGCGACACGGAATGTCCGGCGACCATGACTCCATTTTGTCATTTTCAGACTCTGCGGAGAAATCCGACCTGCGGGGGCAGTTTTTCATAGATTCCACGGCAGTGGATCTTTTGCTAATAAATGATACATCCGGAGTCCAGTGGTCGGGATATTCCTCCCCGAGGGGAGATTCTTCTCGAACGGACTTCGTGGATATAAAGCCTCGGCGCAAGAGGAACTGCAAAGGCGGTGTTTTAACTACAAATTGCCCCATTCCCCCATAAAGTATGTACGGTGCATAACCATAACATTGGCGATATGCTAGGATTAGGAGATTCCGTATCAGCCATCGATCCCGTACCATCGACGAGCATCGAACCATGTTTGCCAGGCCCGAGAGCATGGCGCACGCTCGATAACTTATGCGACATGAGCACCATAGATGATGGGTTTCCAAAGACGCGCAGCTTTACGAGGCTGTGTAAAGCCCAAAATTTACCGGCAATTTCGCCTGGCTGCAGTAAAGGGGAAATCTCTCGCCTTGCATTACTCATATTACCGGCGTGAGATTTCCCCAGGCACTGTGCATCCACCTTTTAGCATTGCAGTCAATTGTCGCTGCACCTGTACGCGACGTTTCCGTTGATACGGTCTCACCCGGCAATCTCGCGCCACGTAGTTGCGAATATGCTCGTAATAAGAAAAAAATCTTTACATAAACGTACCTCCTTCGTCGGTGGTGACGAACGCCGTCGCGGGGGGTCCTGTTCCTTCGGGGTTGAAGACTTGCAGGGACACTCGGTACTTCGTGTAGGTCTCCAAGTCCCTTATGGTGTGGCTCTGGAAACGACATTTCGGAAAGTCTGGCTACAATTGGCAAGGATGAACATTTAGCGAGGTTCAACTTGGGGGAAATCGAAGGAATGGGACATTGGCGATCTCCTCGGCGTCTTACCTCGACATTGGGATCGCGGATGTAAATCTCCTTGACTTCTGCCTCTCCTTTGTCGACAGGACGATACGAGATTCGGTATCCAAGGAATTCCCCGTGAATCGTGTCCCGGGTGGGCGACTTCCATGTAATATGGATGGACGAAGAGGACGTATTGTGTGCCGAGATAATCGTCGGTCTTCCCTCTGGAGCTGGAAGTTGAAAAAGGGATCGGCGCATTAATGAGACCCCGAATTGCATCGCTTGCTTCTGGAGATGTCGCTCGGGAAAGGAAGTGCCGGCGAGCCGGGCCTCCGGGGACAAAAGTGACGAGAAACAAAGCGGCATGCTCGGGATGCTTTGAATGGTTCAATTAAAAAAGTAGAATAGAAATGCGGAGCGCAAACGGGACGGGGCTTCGCCGCGTTAACACCGGCCCGAGTGGTGTTGGGACTCGGCCAGCGCGAATCAGATTTAAACGACAGCCGTGCGAATTGGACCCGTGGCTTCGGTTATTGTATCCCCTTGTTAACCCGTAATAGGAACCGTTCCGCAATTTTCTATAACGGAACTTTAGCAGCAATTAACTCGTTTGCCTCGCCGGGCGTGAAACTCGCGTAGGAGGACCTGGGAGGAGACGCGACGCCTCCCCACGGGACGCCTGAAAAATCCTCGGGAAGTATGAAAACTCCCATCGGCACGCCTTTCGGCCGTGGAATAAAGTGAGGCTGCTTTTAACGAAAATAAGTAGCGTCTGGAGATAATTCGGCCACGGCTCGTTAAGCAGCTTCCCAGTTTTCCGGGCGTTGCGACGTCCACATCACGTCCACGCACCCAACGGGCTCCGGGATCCCTGAAATACATTTTTTTCCGGAGCGCGGAATTGGAACGGTTTAAAAGCTCCTGTTTCGGACCTCCGAAATGCGAGCCGGCATCCGCGTCCCTGGGATTTTCTCACTCGGGGAAGTGGGCTTTCCAAATTAAACGAGCCTCGCTCCTTCCGCGTCCTAAACGAGGCCTCGTGTTTCGAAATTCCCAGCTTCGGGTGGAAACCTAATAGACACCAGGACGAGCGCTCGTTTTAAAGCTCGAAGGATGCACTTCGACGTGGGCTCGCTCTTGAATTTCTGAAAAAACCGCCTCTCGTAATTACGACGGCTCAAAGTTCACGGTCGAGCGTCGAGTGTTACAATCCACGAAAACCCGGCGTACCAAGGGCCTCCAAGAGGGAGGATCGACTTTTTGTCGCCGTTTTTTTTTTTTTTTCCCTAAAGACGGAAAGAACTCCAGTCCGGATAAAATCCGAAGCTCGTCTGCTCTCTCTGGGCGAGATCAATTTTACCGTCGGCGTTTTTCAACTTGGCGTTCAACATCTCGTGACGGGACCGTGTCAATTGGGCCCATCCGTAATGGCACCGCGACGTCCGTCGAGAACGTCGATCGAATTACACGGCCGAGGGGTACTCCTGGGGATCGCGTTTACTCCTGCCTGCGTAATGTCGGTCCATGGGACAATCTTTGCCAGTAACCGAAACCCCGACCTCGGATCAATAGTGGAACTGTATGCTTCACTGGCCGAAACTTTTCCGCCCTCTTCGGCGAATCCACTTGCAGCGCCGACCCTCGTTCCACCCTGGGCTCCTACCCCGCACTTGAACCCTCTGTCCAGTGTCCACTTCCATTTAGCAAATAGTAAAATCACCATTGGCATCGACCTAAGCCGAGCCGATTTCTCCCTGCGCCCGCCGATCCCCTCTCGGTGCCGACATCTCGGCATCGGATAACGCGGATGCTGCGCCGAATCATCGCCCGATGGGCCCATCGACTCTTTCCCTGACCATGCACTTATAAATGCACGCGTGGAAGTTCAGATTACCTAACGCTCCGTATAAGATCGGAATAAAACGGTGGAGAGTAAATCTGGGAGGTTTTTCCCAGTTTTTGCGGGCGGGACTTCCTTCTCTAAGCCGGGCGGATGGAATTGGATTTGCATTATTTCTTACCCCTGCGCTTTCGTTACACCTATTAGACGCGCCGGTAATAGAGTCTTCAATTATACGTATATAATGTTGATTTAACCGAGGAATATATACGCAGGCTGCTACGGAGCGCACAATGCAGTAATATTATCCGGCCGGTGTCGCAGTCCTGGCAAGCAATAAGGAGGTCGTCTTATATTCTACGACAATTTGCAGCGCGCACTCCGGTAACCTAATTGCGTGCCAGTGCGTCTTGAGATTCTAGGACAACCCGAGGTATGGGAGAGACTTCGGTAATGGCAGATCGCGGCCGATGGATTGGAAATTATTAAGGACTTTTGATCGAGGGCAAACGCCATTAGAGCCGCGTCGCGGGATTTCGAATCGCCTGAAATGGAGTCGCGGCTCGACATTGGAAGGAGGTCCGAGATTTTCGCGTTTTGCATTTTACAGGCTGCGAGGAAATCAATATTTCACTCCGGGGTACACGGTGGCTCGGAAGTACGCGGGACGTACGTTTCCTCATATTTTTCGCCAGCCGAACGTTTTATTGTTTTTACCGCCCCCGCGGGGCGGCTTAACTTTACGGGGGAAATCCATTTTGATTCCAAATCGCGGAGGAATGATCGCCAGGACGTGGACCCGAGGTGACGGAGGATCCGGACGTGCGAATTAAGACGTCCAATCCGGAGAGGATCCGTTTTTCGGAAAGCAGGATTTTTTTCTGCAACATCTTCTGACCTCATTCGGGAGTCCCATACCTCGGCGCCGCTGTTGAAACTTTGACTGCAAGTTCGGCCCCTCCGGATGAAAGAAAATAAGATAATAAAAAAAAAAGAAAAATTCATGAAGGACTCGATGTTAAATTTTGAAAAAAAAAAACGTCCAATCCGGAAAGGATCCGTTTTTCGGAAAGCAGGATTTTTTTCTGCAACATTTTCTGACCTCATTCGGGAGTCCCACACCTCGGCGCCGTTGTTGAAACTTTGACTGCAAGTTTGGCTCCCCCGGATGAAAGAAAATAAAATAATAAAAAAAAAAAGAAAACAAGAAATTGATGGACTCGATGTTAAATTTTGAAAAAAAAAAAAACGTAAATATCTCTTATATGAAGTTTCTGAAATTTCGACAAGTAGGTGATGCCACCAGGTACGTGTACCGCGGTCGTCCAATTGCTGCACATAAATCCGGCACTCCTAGTACTGGAATTTTAAAAGTTGCTCGCCTCGGTTAAACCATCTGCTTGAAACTTTTAAAACTTCATCCGAACAGCCTCGCACTGCTTGGATACTTCTACTATGTACGTGCTCTATTAAACTGGACGGAACTTTTCCTAGTTAGTTCTGACGTGTTAGATAGCCATTTTTATTTATCCTTCGGAGAGGAATCGTTTCCGCGAAGGAAGAGTCGTCGTTACGTCAGAGATCGATGGGGGCAGGTGAATTATAAAAATTAGGTGATATTAGTAATGCACGGGAAGAGCAAACGTAGACAGAGGTACCGCGTACATCGAAGAGGGACTCCCGACTTACAGGGATTGTTTTCTCTCGCGTGTTACCGAGTACACGTAACAATCCCACGTATCTGCCAGGGTGTCAACTCTAATGCGATAAGAATTACTTTTCGCGCTAGGTTTTACCGACACGTCGCATTTTCTTGCCCGAAGCGATGCCCGCCTAGCCTCGGCCATGATGGGTTGCTAAAAAGTTGGAAGTCCGCCAGCGGTCTTCAGCATTCCTCTTTGCATGTTGTTCTGCCTGCTCTTAGAACTCGGATTTTGACTCCGACATGCCAAAAGCATTACACTTCGCAGACACCTCCATTAACTTCCCGAAATCCGTAGGAGCGTGATTCGCTCTCCAGTATGAAAGAAAAAAAAAAAAAAAAACACATAAAACCCGAAAAAGTCCATAAAACAGCGGGACCGATTTCCATTATTTTCCTCGGAGGCGAACTTCTCCAGATAATTATTTACTCGTCAAGTACAAAACGACCTGCCGCTTCCGGGGAACGATTATCCCTCGATAGTCTAAATATTTGCACCGGCTCATAATCGAGACGTATTACCACCTCCTAACGACTCTCTTCCCCCGAGTTCCCTCCCATAATTAATTCGCCCTAAGCGGTGGCTTTTCGGGCGACCTCGTTGTCTTGCTAGGAGCACGCAATACCAAACATGGCACGATCCATCAGCTGGGAAACCCAAACTTGAGCCCGGACCAGGGCTTAAGCGTTGCGTGAAAGTTGGGTCTTACCAAGACCTGGACCCCAATTTCCAGTTGGACCAGTCAGGATGTAGAAGTTCCGCATCTTGGCGGAACCAAGCGCCGATGTACCTGGCCATGTTCCACCGGTGTACCTCGTTCCCTCTTCGGGATGGATTTTGAAGAGCGGCCCATTGACCAGGGCCTTGTCCCTTGTTAATCGAAACGCCCCGGCACATCCTTACAACTCTCTTCCCCGAATGTACCGAACTATAATTAATCTACCCTAAGCTTCTACAGGGACCTCCGGGTCTCCCGGAGCAACACGCAGCCCTAACACCGTGAAACTACAGCTGATCCCACCAGATTACTCCGTCCGAATAGCCCATCGGTCCAGGAACCTAAAGAGGTCCCGTAAAACGAGTCAAGGGGATACGATACGGCGCCGCCTCTGCAGAAAATCCGGAGAAGTCTCTCTCTCTCCTCTCGGTCGCCCTTTATCAGGAAGAAGTCTCCCCGGGAACCGAAGAATTAAGTCGCGGAACCGGTGGTCGCTCGTCCCGGTCGGCGCTGGTCGACTTTCCGAGGCGACAACTCATCCTGGCCGACCGGCCGATAGGGGGCAAAAACGAGCCCAAGGACTGGAAACAAAGGACCCCCGAAGGTTTCCGGAATCATTACTCGGTCCCAGCAGAGCAGTAACTTCCGGCGCGACCCGGAATGGATCCGGGGACCTCTCGGAGCCACGTCGTGGGAAGCCAAGCGGAATTTTCTGGGGAGGAACGGAAGCGCCGCTCGGCGCTCGGCCAAGCGTAGGGAATCGAAGCGATAGCAATTAAGTATCGCAGCTAGACCGGGCTCGTTACGAGGTACACTGGGAGGACCGAATAATTATCTGGTTATCGACGGTGACGAGCATCGTGGCCGGTAATTGCCCCGATGTCGTGTTGGTCGAGGTACCGCGGGGTAACGTGGACTTTTGACCGAGGTCAGGGTGCAGGGTGCAGAGTTTGCCAGCTCGGACCAGAGTTCACCAGGGTGCCGAGTGAACCAGGGTCCGCCACCTTGGACCAGCTAGGACCAAGGTGCACCAAGGTGCACGCACCTGCTGCGTGCACCCACGTCAGGGCGCCCAGGACCCAGCATCCCTCTCCGAGGTGTGGGATGAGAACTCGGAATACGTGTACCCGGGCTCGAATCGGCACTCCCACTGGTGGCGCAAACTTTCCCGCTCCGGGACGGCTTCGGCTCCTTTTCCGACATTTGCCACGTTGAAAAGCCATTTAGCGGCCCGCGGGCGTTCCGCTCGACACCTGCAGCCGAGCTGCGATCGAGTTCCGCGCTGCGCTTCGCCAGGGCCGCTCGATACGTGTCCGCCTGCCAAGGTATCACTCGCAAACGGGAATATAAATGGGCCTCCACTTGGCGATCGGCTCGAGGACTGGCCTCGAGGTCGTAAGGCTTTTTTATAGGAAGTATACTAACGTACGCGACGGCCTGTACCCCGGCGTTTCAACTCCGGCTGCGCGGCGGAACCACCCTCTGGGAGCCTGGTGACCCCGAAGTGGTCAGAAGAAGCCCGATTAATTATCATTCGACAACTGGGGGAAGGACTCTCCAGGGAGGGATTGATCGAGCAGGGGGGAAACGAGCTTCCCGTGTACGGGTTTCTTCCGGGGAACGATCACCCCGGGTCCCAAAATGCGCGACAGGGATGGTGAGTGTGTTTGTTGCGGTGATGAGCAAATGCGGGACCAAAACCAACACCATCGTAACTTTGGTTTTAGTCTTGAGTACGGTCTTAAGGTGATGTGAAAATCGCGAAAATCGCGAAAATCGCGAAAATCGCGAAAATCGCGAAAATTGCGAAAATCGCGAAAATGAAGTTTCATGGGACCTTGCTTCTAAGCCTTCATATTTATGTCGCAGAGTTTGAAATGATTTGATACACCCAGTTCAGAGACATTTTCACGATCCCTGGGATGCCACTTTAGCGTCGCCTCAATCTTGCACTTTTGTTTCTTGCAAGACCAAGACCGATAGTGGCCGTCGTCTTGTTGGGTTGGCCGATCTGCGTTCGAGCCAGCAAGTTTTGCGAGCTCGGCTAAAATCTCCAGCGAATTCGGGATGGGTCGAGGCACAAAGGGGGCAATATCCTCGAATGGTCGCGCGTCGTACTCGGGCCGCCCTTTGGCCGCTGATTTTGCCAAGTGGCTTCATGGACCCGACCATGAGCACGGTCTCACTTGTACTCGCCGAGCTGCGGGGTAATATCCTCCGCCTCGTTCGATCCGTCCAGCGAACTCGACATGGACCACAGCGGACCTTCCCTTCGTCCCAGGGGAATTTTCAACCGGCCCTGGAGTCCTTCGGCCAGGAATACGCCCCCGAGCGACCAGTCCACCCGATGGGAAATCTGGCCCTGTCGGTGGCCCATATTGACCGGCACCTCCGCAGCCACCTCGACCATCGGTTCAACCATCGTCGAGACCTTCGCCCACGGCACGACCAGCTTCGAGCTTTTAACCTCCAAATTCGAAATTCAATTTTACCATATCCAGCGGCGGCCTCCACTCCACCCCTAAAGACGTCTTCGAGGTCGCCCGTCCCTCCGGGGTGAAATTAATCATGCCCCTAAGAGGCGCCCAAATCGTCACTTCCTGGCAAAGGTACTTCTCCAAATTAACGGGGATTCCATCTTTTGACCCCGCGAATTAAATCGGAATTGTCACTTCTTGGCAATAATACTCCTCAATATGATCGGGGAATCCATTGATGGACCCCGTAAATTAACTCGAAACTGTCGAGCCACGAGCGTGACTTATGAACGTGGGATGAAATCGATGACGACAACCGCTTATCCCGGATGGTCTCGAGAGTTAGGGGATATCTTCGGAGGAGATCCGGTCCCGCCGAGAAATCGTAAAATATTGATAGCGCCAAACGACGTGGGAACGACCCCGTATCATTCTCGGATGTATACGGGGCCATTAAAAAATGTAATGACGCACGGTCCCACCATTCGCGGGGGACTAAGAGTACTTTCGAGCTTCGGTACTTCCGCCGCGCTATGAACCTAAGAGTATGGTGGATCTACGGGACAACGATTATAATAAATTCTCACCCTGGCGAAGCGTCGGCCTGAAAACCCCCCTCCTTACGGAGGGGGAGGGAGAGTGCCTTTAACGCGGATCATGACTCAACGTCTACACGACGTTGATATTTTAATGACAAACTCGACGTACCAAGGCCGACGATAATCCCATAAATTTAGCCACTCGTAAAGTGCGTTTAAATTGAAGGAAAAATTCTCTACACTTAGGGGGGTTAAAAAAGTGCCGGGGAAATAATCCACTTCCGACGAAATTCCTACTCTCGAGCAGGGTAGTTACCCCTTTAACTTTGATAACTACTGTTAAGGGCGTAATGTTGCTACCAACGGGATACCGTTCATGTGCACTCGATGTTAAGCGTTTTTAGCAATTACGCGCGATATCGGGTGTTCAGGGAAAAATGGCCGATTAATCTTGCCATTAATTCCGCAATTAATTCTGCGTTTATGTCGAGGCGAGCAGCAGGTGCACGTGCGGATAGTAGTGTACATGATCGATTTATGCGATAACGTGCTAAGATTATTATTTTACCTCTCAAGGGCGAATTTTCGCAAGATCGGAGATACGAGGAAATGTGAAAAAGATATAAAAATATAAATTTATTTAAATTTCCGTTTATTGGTGCATCGGCCGCTCCCTGAATCTATTGACAATTTTTCCACTTTTTCTTGGGTATTTCAGATTTAATGTAATGACGCTCACAGCAAATCGAGTCAAACGGGACGCGGTTATTAGATTCGACCCCTCCCTCGGCGTATTAACAATAAGTACTGTCCATAACTAATTACTCCCAAGCATTGTCGAGTCGTTTGACACCGAGCAAATATTTGATCGTCGCATCGACCCGGCCGATCGGCAATTCGATCGCACAATACTTGAAACTATTTATTGCAGCGAGCCAGGAGACAAAATCCACTAATTACATTGCTATTTGCCGAGCCGTAGCAATGCTGTGGAAAACTGGGCAAAATCTCGCGTCCGTCCCCGAAATGACGCCCCCAAAATCTGGCCTAAAAATACATTTCGAGGGCACAAAAAGTCGATTTCCCGGTTTGACGGAAGTGAAACGGCCGTTAAGCGCTGAATTTTCCGCGTTTCCGTGGACATCGAGTGGAAAAACCCGGAGAGGAACGAAGCGTTGCGCGGCTCTCAAAAGGAGCGACTCGCAACGAGATTTAGAAAAAGGGGGAATAAAAGGGAAGAAAAGAGGGAGCCGCGGGCCACTGCCGGGAAAATGAAGCGCATTTTGAAAACGTTGAATTAAAGCGAGCAGCGGGCGAAGGGAGGAATCCCTAATTTCGGCGAGAGGGCCAGAAGAGCTGCCAAAGGCAGGGAATAGTCGGAGCGCGCAGGTGGAGGTCCTTGGGGAGGGAAAAAAATAAATAAATTCCAGGTGGACCCTGCGACTCGAACTTGTTAATTGCTCTTTGCGTAGGTACCGATCCTGATATCCTGTCCGCGTTTATAGATTTTGCGGGCCTCGCGCTTTGCCCGGCCTGCTCAACCTAGTTTTGGACGAGCGAGGGAGCGAGCAGCTTGAGTTAAGCGTACCTGTTTCTGCTGCACTCTCCGACTCCACTGCAATTAGTGCACCTTTCCTTGCGGACCCTTCCCGCTCTGGGGAACACCGTCTCTCTTCCTCGTGCAAAGGCCCACTCGCCGAGCACTTTTGACACCGTGTCAAACCGTTTATTTTGTTAGGACGCCACTGTCATTCATCCTGCGCTTTCAGCGGGCCCACTCTCGACATTCTCTGGGCGCATCTTTTTTGCGCTCCGCGCATATCTTTTTTTGCGCATTTTTAGCCCCGGTAATAAATATCGCGGCTCGCAAAATTGGCCGTATTTCTCGGGGAGGCGCGGGCTTTTTGCGAACGCCCGCCCGTAAATTCCTGGCGAAAATCAGTCTCCTCCGGTTTTTGTCTTTTTTCTTGGGAAATCCTGTACGACGTATGGTCGACGGCGAGTGCAGGGATGATTATCTATTTATTAGCGTTTATCGGCCGATTAGGAGAGGATATTTCGGGGGTTGTTTGCCAGGAGGGATGCGGCGCTGTCGGGGGCGAAGACTGTGGATGCCTGGACTTTATCGAGGGGGATGCTCCTAGGGTGGGAATAGCCACCCTTGGGCACAAGGGGAACCCTCTGCGGCCCCTTGTAAAATAACACAAATGTTCACGGGCCGAAAGGAAAAACGGCTGCAAGCTTGATCCGTGTCCATATTTGCATTTTCATCCGAAGCTCCGTTTCACTTTGACGCAGCCGCAATTGTTTGCGAAGTCCACGCGGCGGTACGGTGTGCAAATGGACGGTGTCAACAGATCTTCCCTCGAATATGCATCGCGGAGTTTTCGATTTATCAGAGTGCATCCGCGAGTTGCAGGGAATTCCCCACGCAGGGTGCACACTCCAAGTCCTTTTCGGGCCTCCTTCGGAGGGTGGACACACAACAACTTGACCACTTTGCCCTAACTTGATATGCCTCGAAATTTGTTCAAACTTCGAATCCACCTCCTAGCCTATTTAATTACTCGATTTATCGAGTTATCTTATTAAATCACGGATTGCTTGACGTTTCATAGGTTCGAGCTGCTTTAATTCAAGCTCCTCTAGAGATGCTCCACTCGCATGGTCGTGTATGAATGCATGCAAAGGGAGGAATAAAAGGGTTAAAAATAGTTGGGCATTACCTTCGCGAAGGGTTACCATGAAGTAGGAATCGCGACTTGCTTCGCTGCGACCCAACGTGTTCACCGCAGACACGCGAAAACTGTAGACGGTGAATGGAGTCAGGTTTTCAATGGTGTACGTCGTCTTATTAGTGGGCGTTTTAATTTCATCCATCTCGTCCCAGCGTCCGAACTCGCCCACCCTGGAACATACATGTCAATTTACATCGTGCAATCTTACCTTGCGTAACGTCATTACGAGCATTGAACCCTACGCACTCATCTCACGCCCACGAAAGAGCTACTCCAAATTACCCTATCGTTTTCCTCAACTACTCTTTTGCTCGAATAATAATTACTCATCAAATACAGGTTTTCAGAATCATGGTTGCAAAATATATCTACGTACAAGTAAGAGTAAGAGATATTGCATGTAACAACACGCGATTCGGAGTGTACATCAAGATCATGCGAGATTAACAGTATTAACGTCCGATCAAGGTGTGGAGTCCCGGCTTTACTGTCTTCCGATTTGCATTCGCACCCCTTCCTGCTAATTAATCGGGGATATTAATTGCAGCCGATTAGTTACCGAAAGTTTCCGCATGGCGGCGGTTCGGATAATTGCTACAGTTTACGCGTACCCCTTGCCCAGCGTTACATGAAAGACACGTTAAGAATATCTATTTACCATCCACCCTTTGTTAAAACTATGAATAAAGTATTCTCAGTAACATCCCACATGGGCGACATTTCCGAAAATAAAAATGAAAAAAAAAATCAGACTCGAGAGCTCGACTATTTCTCCAGAATTTCAATAGTCTGAAATATCAAGTCTGAAATTTGCTGAAATTCGATGGATGTAGGATGGATCGAATCTTCTTGTCAACGTCATCCACCGGCATTGTCATATTCCCAGGGGAAAGGATAGAAAATCGATAGTCATTAATTCCACCGTTCGCCAGGCTGGAACAATTCCCCTAAACGAAGAATTCGCCTCGGTCTTGGAGATCGGCGGGCGGATTTTAATTTCCAGATTTTAATTTCAAGAAGGCTCTCTATTTTAAACATCCCAGAAGCGAGAACGCTTCGTTAACGTCCCCCATAATCCGATCTATCCCTCGAAACCGTCATAATTCAGAGAAGCTTGGGCACCATCAACGAAAAGCCTCGGGAATCTTTATCCGCGAGTCTTTTCCCGAGATTCTATCATCCGACACCTGGTGGTGGCGTTTTTTAACATCAGGCCGTCGAGGAATTTTCCATAAATAATTGCGAGATGTTTGCGGGCGTCCTCGAGTCCGCAGCGGGGCCTGCGCCGATATAAACCTATCCCCATGGTGATTTGTGATTTCCTTGAAAATCGGCCGGGGTTGCCTCTCCTTTTTTCGCCCCATCTGCATTAATATGTACATATTCATGCCGGAGGTGAAGTTAACGTAGGCTTCGCCGTCCCCGGGGAGGGCGGACATTTTTTCCAAGAATTAAATATCAAGCTGTTTCCGCATAAATGGCGAACCGTCACACACAGTCCGCTCGGGCGAGCTCGTGCAGATGAAATGCGCAACCCCGCTTACTTTCAGCCGGCATGTAAAAACGGGCTTTCATTTAAATGAATTTGCTTAAATGCGCGCCCAACCTCGAGAGTCCGCCACCGGGTTTCCACGTATTAACGTATTAATAGTTCTTAAATGTTCCGCCCGGGCGAGCAGCGCCAAGCTAAGGAGGAGCAAGCCCCGAAGAGAGCCCTGAAAATCGCAAATTTTAATTGCGGATTTTCGCAATCCTTCCCAAAGGGTCGCCTATACCTTCCTCGCTCTCCTGAAAACGTTATACTAAGTGTCAAAGGGGAATTCGAATTTTGCTTGGCCGACAGAAGGGCCACCATCGTCCATCAACCCCGTCGAACGACTCGTCGACGAAGAAGTTCGCTCGCGGAAATAACACCTCCGCCTTGAAGGTGTCGCCCGGCCGAGGCGTTACGACTTAACTTCCCTTTAAATCCGTATAGTGTAAATAACTTCGCTTTTAGTGGAGAACCGTATTACGTATAAACGTATAAAGACGTATTATTCCCGCGCCGGGACATTTACGAGTGATTCGCGTCAGCGCGATCGGGAAATGCCTGCAGTAACGATATACTCGATTCCCTGCATTAGTGGCTACAAATGTTTCAGAACTCCCTCCGTCTGGCTCTTCGACCCCCGGATGAAGGAAAGAATATTTTATTTTCACTTTGTTTCCCCATCGCACCCTATGACCGATTCCGGGACCAACACGGAGTCGCCCTCGTGCACCTGCAGTAACGATATACTCGATTTCCTGCATTAGTGGCTACAAATGTTTCAGAACTCCCTCCGTCTGGCTCTTCGACCCCCGGATAAAGGAAAGAATATTTTATTTTCACTTTGCTTCCCCATCGCACCCCATGACCGATTCCGGGACCAACACGGAGTCGCCCTCGTGCACCGTCAACTCGATCGAAAACGCCACCGACGATAATTCACCAGAGAGTCGCAGTTAATATCCCGGGTGAAAAATCGATATCGGAGGCGACGAATAGTTGGCAACTAAATCGATTTTACAGAGTCGACTGGACGAGCGCGTTAGAACTATCGGTGTCTCCGTTTTGACGTTTTGACGGGACGAGGCATGGCTGCGGTTGCGTTGCGCTCTATGTCAGGATTTATCGTCGGGGCTCGCCGATACGTCGACGGCTGATAGGAATAGACGCTGGGGAAACGCCGTTATTTTTATCACGAGGACACGTCGCTCCAGCAGGATATCCCGAAGGGATCAATCCGGCTTAAGCCGCGCCAAGGCGCGAGTTTTGGCTTCTGGTTCCCCACTCTATCGAGAAAAAAATCCCCGCTCTGTTTCTCGATATCGCATTATTTCCAGCGAACGAAGGGCATCGAATTCCGCCATTGCGTCTAAAAAATCCCGGAATCGGTAAATTTGGGAAGCCGAATGGCCCTTTGGTGAAGCCGTCCATGGCTCCGTTTTGACGTTTTGACGGACCTGGCTCGAGATCGCGATTGCATACGCGCTCCGTGTCGGAATTTATCACCGCTGCTCCGTGATAAGGTGACGGCTGATAGGAGCAGACGCGACGTCGTTATTTTCCTCGCCCTGATACGCGGTCCTGGCAGAGAGAGAGGGAGACCGAGCGGCAGGACGCGGCGACGTCGATCAAAACTTGGAAAAAAAGAAAAAACATTTAAGTTTCATTCGGTGTTTCAGGATTCGAGCCGGGACCTCGATCTATAAAATAAGATGTCGGAACCGTCGAAGCCACGTTTCGACATGGCGGGCGTGCCAGCGGTTGCGTATGCGCTGAACGTCAGGATTTATCATCGGGTCTCGACGATACGTCCGAAGGTGATAAGACCCGACGTTAAGCCGTTATTTTCCCGTCGGGTCAGACCGAAACACCCGGAAGGGACGAAAACTCGGAACTCTGGTCCAAATGTCGCACCTCCGTTAGGACTCGACGAGCAGACCCTGGAAGAGCCGCTGGTACCATGAATGATAAATCCTTATTAGGACTCGATAAGGACGAGTAACCTGGATTTCCCTCATGAGGATCCGTCGTCCTGGGGAGTCCTGAAAGGATCTTCAGCCAAGCCCGACCTAAATGGGAGTCCGAGGAGGGCGTCAGGTGTGTTTCACCTAGCAATTTGGCCAGGACCCCATTATTCAGGTCTCTTCCAATCTCTCGGTCGTTTACCGAATAAATCGAGGACATTCCCTCTCGACTCGGCGACTTTATATCCTTCTTTCTTCCTAGTTTACGAACGCCTATCTCGCTCACTTCCTGCCCTGCCTGCGCCTTGACGGCTGATTCAATTCGCAGCGTTCAGAGACCAAGCTCCGCCGATATTAAGACCGTTTGGAAATGTTCCTGGAGACCTTTCTCGTATTAGAGGAGATCTCCTCCTCCTCTGCGAAGAAATATACGCTGAGCTTGACTCGCGCATCCTTTGATGCTCTCCAGGTTGCGGTAGGTCAGTTTAACCGTGGCTCTTCGGCAAGCTCTTCGGGGTCGATGTTACTCCACCGGGGGTTGCACATCCGTGGCATCATCGGGGTTATGGTTTTATTTCGATGGGGATGTTAACGTTAATCGACGGTATCTTGACTCCATGTGCACTTAGGAGCCTTGACAGCTGCGTTGCTAATTCTGCCTCATTGAATTACAGCGCACGTAAGCAGTTGGTCGCTTCTAATAGGGCAATCAATGATAAGATATTGTACACCAGTAGTGTCCATTCACCTGCGCATACCATTATTCAATATGGCGGGGATGTGGTTGCCGTCTAACATCCGAAACTTCGCCAGGATCTGGCAGGACCTCCGAAAGCTCATTCTCGTCTGATTCGCATCTTGGTTTGAAAAATGTCTGTCTCTGTTGAGGATTCTTTTTTTTTTCCTTCTTCATTTTGCACTTAGTATACGGAAAAATTTCTGGAGAAGTAGGGTAGCTGATAAGCATGCCGGGGTGAATATTGTTTATTGTAACGAGACAGATTTATGAATCGCCATGAATCACGGGAATGCCTCCCTGCAGTTTGCCAGGAATGCTTTAATTGGGAAACTTTATGATTGTGAAATGGCAGAGGCACCGAGGTGAAAAGTTAGAACAGTCATGATTCTTCGCCAAGTTTCATTACCTCGCATCACCGTAACAAGGGATAAATTGCGTTCCCTTGAAATTAGATTAAATTAGGATTGCTTTTATTCGCCAGGCTCGAATTTTTCCTTCCATGAGTGGCTTAGCACGGTGGGTCTACTTCTTCCTAGGTGCAAATTTTGGTTAATAGCTGCTCGGCTAGGAAATAATTATTTCACACGTGCTGACCGGTGCGAGCATATACGCAATTTGGAGGAACCATGTCGGCTCGTGGGTGAAACGTTTGACGTTGATGCACTCCACGTTACTCAAGTTTGCTGTTGGCGATCATGGACATTTGCTGGCACCATATAGCGATAGAAGTTTAGACGAGGGTGATTCGTGCCGCACGATTCGCGTGTTTCCTATCTAATGAATTGTCAACATCAGGGTACAAGCTGACAACCCGGCCAACGATGGCTCGACCGCACCTTCGTAGAACATGCTGATACCATCACCGTCCACGGGGTGATCAATGATAACCTGAACGGCAGAATTTTGTTTTTTTTTTTTCCCCCCCCGACACCGAGC